TGATGCTTGCCTCATAAGATGGGTTTGGAAGGGTTCCCTCCTTTTCTCTTTCATGGAATAATTTGAGGAGTATTGGTATTAGTTCTTTTTAGAAGGCCTTGTAGAACTCAGCTGAGAATCCATCTGGTCCTGGACTTTTCTTTGTTGGTAGGATTTTGATGATTTCTTCTATTTCCTTGCTTGAAATTTATCTGTTTAAATTGTGTATGTGCTCCTGATTCAGTTTGGGTAGATCATATGTTTCTAGGAAATTCTCAATGTCAAGATTTTCTATTTTATTGGAGTATAAATTTTGAAAATAACTTCTAATTATCTTCTGTATTTCAATAGTGTCCATCATAATATTTCCTTTTTTTAAAATATTTTTTTAGTTAAAGATGACATAACTTTTTTTTTAATGTGGTGCTGAAGATCAGACCCAGTGCCTCACATGTGCTAGGCAAGTACCCTACCACTGAGCCATGATCTCAGTTCAATATTTTTGTTTTTCATCATGAATTTTAGTGATTTGAGTTTTTTTTCTCTTCTTTGTTAGCAGGGCTGAGTTTAATTAATTTTATTTTTTCAAAGAACCAACTTTTCAACAGAGATATGATAAATTGTAGTATAAAAGTGTATTAAAAATAAAATCAATTTAAAAAAAGAAAATGATTTATGAAATGTCCAGTTCTGTTAATATGTTTCATGGTCAAGCTAAGTGTAATACACAACAGACTTAACGGAAACAAACCAGACCACTGACTTACTTCAGGGAAGTTGCCATACTTTTGAGAAATGGAATTTCCTTGTTACTTAATCTACCCAAGTCAGTGTTTCTGTTACTTGGGGTACAGAAACAGAGAAGACTTTAAGACATTATTTTTGTTCTTTAAATCTCCCAGTAAGTTAACTAGCTTATATATCTATTGTAAAAATAAACCTACCTTAGATCTAGGATTAATCTACCAATTAGGATTAACTTGTTTAAAAATAGAGAGGACTTAAAAAAAAAGAATTGTAATGCAAAAAAAATCAACAAGAGAGCTCATGTATAATGGTATAATTTGCTGTGAACATACTTTCTATACAGAGTTATGAAAAATTGTGCTGTAAATGGATAATCATGAATGTAATACATTCCACTATTGTCATGTATGAAAGAAATAAAAAAAGAACCAACTTTTCATTTTGTTGATTCTTAAAATTTTTTTTTGTTTCAATTTCCTTGATTTCAGCTCTGATTTAAATTATTTCCTGTCTTCTTCTACTTTTGGTGTTGATTTATTTTTTTCTAGGGCTCTGAGATGTAATGTTAGGACATTTATTGACTTTTTATTATTTCATTGAATGAGCTCAATGCAATGAAATTTCCTCTTAGCACTGCCTTCATAGTATCCCAGAGATTTTGATATATTGTCTCAGTGTTCTCATATACCTCTAGGAATTTTTTAATCTCCTCCTTGATGTCTTTTACTATCCTTTGCTCATTTAATATCATATTATTTAGTTTCCAGGTTTTGGAGTAGCTTCTATTATTTTATCAATGATTTCTAGTTTCATTCCATTATGAACTGATAGAATACATCGTAGTCTTTTTTTGTATTTGCTGAGAGTTGCTTTGTGGCATAATATATGGTCTATTTTAGAGAAGGATCCATGTGCTGTTGAGAAGAAGGTGTATTCGCTCGATGATGAAATACTCTATATATGTCTGTTAAGTCTAAGTTATTGATTGTATTATTGAKTTCTGTAATTCCTTTGTTTAGTTTTTATTTGGAAATCTATCCAGAGGTGAGAGAGGTGTGTTAAAATCACATAGTATTATTGTGTTGTGATCTATTTGCTTCTTGAAATCGAGAAGGGTTTGTTTAATATATGTAGATGCTCCTTTGTTTGGGCCATAGATATTTATGATTGTTATGTCTTGTTGATGTATGATTCCCTCAAGCAATATGTAATGTATCTCTTCTGACTAACTTTGGTTTGAAGTCCACTTTATCTAATATTAGGATGGAAACCCCTGTGTGTTACGTGGCCCATGTGAGTGATATGTTTTTTCCCGTCCTTTCACCTTCAATCTGTGGATATCTTTTCCTATGAGTCTCTTGAAGGCAGAATATTGTTGGATCTTTTATTTTTTTTAATCCAATATGCCAGTCTATGTCTTTTAATTAATGAGTTTAGGACATTAACATTCAGGGTTATTATTAAGACATAGTTTGTGTTCCTGGTAATTTTGGTTTATTTTTGGTTTTTGAGTTGATTTCTCCTTTTATTGGATTTTCCTTTAGTGTACTTCCTCCCTTTGCTGATTTTCATTGTTGTTTTTCATTTCTTCATGGAATTTTTTTGCCAAGACTATTCTGTAGTGCAGGCTTTAATTTTTGTTTATCATGGAAATTTTTTACTTTGTCATCAAATCTGAAACTTAATTTTTCTGGATATAAGATTCTTGGTTGGCATTCATTTTCTTTCAGAGCTTGGTATTTGTTGTTCCAGGATCTCTTAGCTCTGATGGTCTGTGTTGAGAAATCTGCTGAGTTCCCTTATGCAATTTGAAACTTTTCTCTTGCAGCTTTTAAAATTCTATTTTTATTCTGTATGGTTGGTATTTTCATTATAATATGCCTTGGTGTAGATCTGTTGTAATTTTTACATTTGGTGTTCTGTAAGCCTCTTGTATTTGGTTTTCTGATTTGCTCTTCATGCTTGGGAAATTTTCTGATATTATTTCATTGAAGAGATTGTGCATTCCTTTTGTTTGTATCTCTGTGCCTTCCTCTGTCCCAATAATTTTTAGGTTTGGTCTTTTCATGTTGGCTCATAATTCTTGGAGGTTCTGTTCATGGTTTCTCACCATCTTCACTGTGTGGTCAACTTTATTTTCAAGATTATATATTTTGTCTTCATTGCCTGAGATTCTGTCTTCCAAGTGATATAGTCTGTTGTTGATGTTTTCTATTGAATTTTTTATTTGATTTATTGTATCCTTCATTTCAAAGATTTCTGACTCTTTTTTTCAGGGACTCTATCTCTCTCTTGAAGTAATCTTTTGCTACCTGTATTTTCTCTCTTATGTTTTTGTTGGAGTGGCCAATTGTTGCCCTTATTCCCTTTTTAAATTCATTCTTTGCTTTGCAGATCAATTTAATTATACACATTCTGGACTCCTTCTCTGATACTTCATCTACTGTACAGTTAATAGAATCTATTATTGCATCAGCTTGGTTTCTTTTGGGCAATTTCTGAATATCTTCCTCTCTAGCAGTATCCATTCGAGGTATTACAGTTTCTATTTTATAATCTTGGAGTATCCCTACAGGTTACCAGTACCTTGCCTACAGGAACCAGGATGATGGTCTTGTAGGTCCTGGCTGTTGTCACTAGATGGAAGCTGGAGAGAAAGCTGAAGCTACCATGTTGGTAGATGGGGTTGCTCTACTGTGTGCAGTGGGCCGGGGTCACAGTCCTCTGCTGCTCCTCCTTCTGCACAGCAGGCGGCTGAGAGAATGTTTTGTAAAATTAATGTTGATTTTGTTGGCTTTCACAGTATTCACTTTCTGCATGTCTTTCGGATCTTGGGTTCATTTGTTTGTTTTAAGTGGCATCTTTCTGTGTCTCTTTTATTTCCCCTCCCTCTCCTCCTTTGTGCATATATCTCCTTTCTGGTTGTTTTGTGGAGGTATCACCTGCATCCCTACCACATGGTATAATGTGCATAGCCTTGTCTAAAAATGGCAATGAATGCTTCTCAGCATGGTGGCACATGCCTGTCAGCAATCAGATCTTGTCCCAAAATAAAACAATAAAAATGTCTTGGGATGTTGCTCAGTGGTAAAGTGCCTCAGGATTCAACTCCAGTAGCCACCCCCGCCCCCCGCCAAACAACAACAACAACAACAATGAATGGCTCCTTGCTTTCAGTGGTGCTGTGGATTTAAGCAGTGTGCTCAATTTTGTAATTGTGAATAAAATAATAAGCTTTTATTGAGTTCTTACTACATGATAGTTACTCTTCTACATATATTGTCTCACATAATGCTCATAACAACTCTGTGAGGTAGGTAAAATCTACAATACAATGATGAGGACCACAAAGATGACCACACACCCTTTAAGTAAAGTAAGGCATGGCAAGGTTAAGTAATGTCTTTAATAAAAACAAATGAAGCATTTAAATGAATAAATTATCCTTAATAATAGTAAACTGAGACCCAACTAATCAATGTGCTAAGTTATTTTTTTTCTGAATAATATTAACTTATGACTCAGGTTAACGTAACATGCTTTGTAGTTTGTATAATTATAACTTTTAGTTCTGTGGATAAACACTCACCACCCTTAAAACTCACTGGTCCCTTAAAAGGCATGTATGACCTTAGGGGAAATGATGTGATCCAACAGACTGGAGTAGATTCAGAAAGTTGATATCTACTAACACATATCCCATTATTTTTGATTCTCATGTTAATCTTTCTTATACTTATTAAATGCATGAAGAAATAGAGGTTCCTGGAGTTAAAGATTGCTTAATATGTTATATTATAACAGAGTTGGAATCAGGAGTTAAAATATGTCTTCTTATTGTTTTTTTTAATTAAAAAATTGTTTTTTAGTTGTAGATGGATACAATACCTTTACCTTATTTTATGTGGTGCTGAGGATCAAACCCAGTGACTCACAAATACTAGGCAAGCATTCTGACACTGAGCTACAGCTGCAATTCCTTTTTATTCTTTTTTAAAAAATATTTATTCTTCAGTTTTAGGTGGACACAATATCTTTATTTTACATTTATGTGGTACTGAGGATTGAACCCAGTGCCACGTGCATGCTAGGCGAGCTCTACCACAGAGCCACAACCCCAGCTCTCCCTTTTTATTCTTAAATGTCTTTTTGTGTGTGTGCGTGCATTTTTTCCATACCATAGTGAAATACTTCCAAGGAAATACCCAACTCCTAAATGAAATAAACAGCTCTCTTCCTCAACTTCTTTATTGTTTACAGAGATATTTACAGCTATGTTAGCGACTTCTGAAAGGGACTTGATGTGGGATATCACAGGAAGGAACATCAAGAAATTTATGGATGCCCTCCAAGTAGCTGGTGAGGTGAGGATGTTTCAGATACCTTCCTGGCTCCAGCCAGGGCAGGACCACCTCCACCAAAGTAGAGGGTTGGGCACATAACCACTATACAAGGAGGATGGGGAGAATTTCTAATCAGCAGAACACTACATGGTATCCAGTCCATTCACAACTCCAAGCCTGGTTTCCATGTCCTTGGTCTGACCCACACCTCTACACAAACCCTGACCCAGCTTTAATCCACTCCCTAGGTCCGCTCTTCCTGTTCCTTTCTCTACCAGGGATTGTTATCCATTTTACTATTTTCACCCTTCAACATTACTTTCCCCTTGAGTTCTCTCTTTCCTACAGGTATCAGCTGATAATGTCTTAGAAACTCTCAAGCTATTAGAAGTCAAAATCTTAAATAATAAAATGTCAACTGCACTGTGCCAGAAGGTGACAGATACCATCATCACCTACCTGAAGATGTTGGTGAGGAGTCTATGCCTCTATGTCAGGGGAAAGGAAAGGTACAAGATCTGATCCCAGAAGTTCTCTTTTGGTGGCTTATTACATTTGGAAGCTAAATGGAACCTGGAATATGAGTAACTCAGGTTTCTAAAAAGTTTATTGGAGTCCATGTCTTGTATCCTAATGCATGTCAAGAATTGTGATCTAGGTAGTTTGAACATATAGCAATGGAGTGAAGAGATAGGCAGGACAAGTGAGATGGAAAGGGGGAAGGATTTGGGCTGTTGGCCTCAAGTGTGATCTTGTCCTCAGATTGTGACCTAAATCTCCTTCTAGGATGCTGTACACAGTCATCTTTGTTACTGTAACTCAATTAATTATCTCAATCTGTTTACTAACTAACCTATTTACGACTACCCATCTGTCTGCTAGCCCCTTTAGACTAAACTTGCATGTTGTCTATGTATCTATCAACTCACATTCATACTTTTAGTTAACTATCTACCTATGAGGTGTTCTTCTTTTTCAGATAACCTGCCTTCCCCTGGCACACTTGTCTTCTGACCTAGACCTTGGATCTATCAGGGATTTTCCAAAGTTATTGCTTCTGTTCACATTTTATTAGTCAACTTTCTGCTGCAGAGAAAGCTCTGTACTCTGGAAACTCCAGTTCCCACCCCCACCACAAAATACTAGACAAGAGACTGTCTAAACTTAAGAACAAGCTCTTGTTACCCATCACTAGAAACATGTGTATTGGCTGGGGTGTGATGTTGACATAAGTGAGTTCCTGCTCTCTTGATAGAATTGGTTGTTGACCAAAGCTCATTCTCAAAAGCCTGGGAATGTGTCTTGGTTATTAGCTTTGGCAGTTAGTTTTTCTTTCTTTCTAGAAGCCACATGGAGAACTGGAGGAGATGTGTACAGCAGTCTTAATGGCTGTGGGGTCCCACTTCCCAGGAATGGTCATTGTCAAGCTGTGGGACAGACCTGATCTGCAGAGCCTGCCCCCAAGGAGCCTCTTGGTGTCAGTGGGGAAACTTAACCTCTACCAGGGTATGGATCCCTGTGAAGGAGGAATTAATTCGATCAGAGGACAGGACATTGGGTGTGGGTCACTGTTAGGACCTGAGACTACCCTCATCACCATAGTTCTTCTCATGGAACAGCTCCACCTGGGTCAGGCTGAGGTTGTGTGTAGGGTAGGACTGGGRCAAACCAGCATCCCTGAAGGGTGATGGGAACATAGGAGAGAGTTCTTGGAGACCAGGAATGGCATAGAAGGAAACATGTTAAGGCCTGGGAGCCTGGTTGACTGAGGAGGACATTTAGGAACAAAGAAGGGAGTGAGCAAGCACAGTAGAAAGACCCCCTTGACAGAGGGAGTGGGGAGGTCATGAGGAATGTTTTGCTGGGGGAAAACTGGTTTTGAATTTGATTAGAATCTCATAAGATAATAGTGTCATAGTAGGATGAGGCAGGAAATCACCCTAGAGTACAGTCTCCATCTCTGTGGCTCAGTAGCCAGTGGTGACTCAACCCATTCCATTCCAACCTTAATCAAAAATAATAAGTCACCAGGCAAATGACACCTGCCCTTTATTTACCACTTGTATCTGAAGTCAGAGACTGGAGGAAGTCAGCTTTTCTTATGGTACTGGCTTCAAATTATAGGGCATGTGGGTTGGACTACCCAGAAAGCTCAGAAGACATGGCAGTAAAAGTTGTGTCCTGATCTAATCCAGGCAGATGCCCCACATTGACCTCAAACAGCCCAGCTTTTTGTTGTTCAAGTTTCCTTGAAAAGGGTGTATTAGCAGGCTGTTTGGACTTATGGTGTGGTAGCAGCCATTATTAAGCTTTACCTTTCTTGTGAGTTCTGTGAGATAATCTCATCAGAAACTGTAGTTCTATCTCACAGTGGAAGAAACTGAAGTCCAGATAAATTGTATCTAGCTCTAGGTTTCTCAGACTCTTTGGATGTAGATCGAGGGCAGAATCCAGGCCTTATGGCCCCTAATGTAGATTTTGTACACTATAGCTGGAAAGCTTACCTCCCTAGAATAGGCTCACCATTCCTTCTCCCTCTCAGGTACGATCACCTACATTGGTGCTACATGGAATTATATCCTGCGCTTGCTGAGGATGGCTGAGGAGGAGGAGGATATGTTGGCGATGTGTCATGGTGAGGCTCAGATGACCCTGGGGAAGGATCTCTTGAGTCAGTATAGGAGGAAAGAAAGGCAGGAAAAGACCAGATAATGTGGATCCAAGTAGCCTGAGGAAAGGGCAGAAATTAGTGGGAATAGGACAGGGTGTGAACAGATGCTTGCTATCATCTGGTTGGGGGCAAGAGCCAAACTTGATAGGAATGCTGTGGGTGCTTCTGGAGAACCAGCTATAGTTGGAAGAAAGTATAGTTGGAGAGTCAGTGAGTGAATGGGTTGGTGTTTTCCTGCACAGGATTCCAGTGACCCTTTTAGGTTTGGGTATAGGAGGACTGTATTCTTTTGTGGGAAAGGAAAATTCAATGGGCAGCTGAAGTTCTGTGCTCCTCTCATAGTGCTCAGCAGATTGGTTGTCAGTGCCCGGAAGCATCTGGATATGGGCTCTAAGGATGGTGAAGAAAGGGACATAACACCTGAGACAGCGTCTATCAAGGCCTACCACACCCTTCGGGTTCTGTTCAACCGTTGGCCCCTGAAGGACATGAAGAAGGTGGGAGTGGGGGTAGTTGGGTTTGGGTTGATGGGCTGAAGGATTGATGCTGAAGCCCAAACAGTGTCATTAAGGAACAATGTCTGTCCCTAAAGAGGAGAGTGATGTTTTTCAGTTACCTCTTCCCATTGTCCAGAAAAGGGGACAGTCAAAAAACCCTGTATGATCACTGGGCATGGTAGTACACACCTGTAATCCCAGTGGCTTGGGAGGCTGAGGCAGGAGGATTTCGAGTTCAAAGCCAGCCTCAGCGAAAGTCAGGTGCTAAGTACCTTCAAAGCCAGCCTCAGTGAAAGTCAGGTGCTAAGCAACTCAGTAAGACCCTGTCTTTAAATAAAATACTAAATAGGGTTGGGGATGTGGCTGAGGGGTTGAGTGCCCCTAAGTTCAATCCCTGGTTACCCCCCGCCCCCCCCMAAAAAAACCTCAAACCCATTCACTTTTTCATTAATGATGTAATTGTTATTTGCATTTACTAAATTCCTTCTGTTTGCCAGGCACTGTGCCAGGCTCCGGGAAGACAAAGATGAATGAGGCAAAGCTACTGAGGACTTGTCCTATCTTTATTCTTGAACTGAGGCCAGCTCATTTCATCTCCTTGTGCACAGGTAGCAGAGCAGGCTCTGGTGATAGTAGGCCATCTCTTCTTCCTCATGTCACCATACAAACTCAAGAACCAAGTGAACTGGTTAACACAACGGTTAATGACTTTAATGTCAGCAAGACTGAAGCCTTTCTACATTTCCCAGGTGACTGCAGTGTGGATGGATGATAAGGAAATGGAATTAGATCATTAAGTTCATGTATTGAACTTGGTACAAGCACATGGCCCACAGGCTAAATCTAGCCTGAAGCCTGTTTTTGAAAATAAGTTTTTATTGGAACTTAGCTGTGCCCATTAATTTACATATTTTTAATATATTGTCCATTGCTGCCTCAGTGTTTAAAAAAAGCAGAGTTGAATCGTTGGTTATAGAGACCCTATGGAAGACGTAGTGTGAAATATTTCTTGGAGCCAGGGGCTTAGATCAAATGTAGAGTGCTTTCCTAGCATGCATGAGGCCCTAGGTTTCATCCCCAGGACCATAAGAGGAAAAAACAAGACTATTAGAAAATATTAAAAATATACATATTTATTGCTTATCTGCTTTCTATAAAGATTTCATCTTACTTATTGACTGGAGTGAGATGAAATCTTTATAGAAAAAATTTGCTGCCCTCTGTGCTTATGCCTACTACATTCATTGAGTCACTAGTATATACTAGGATATGCAAGTGGAGGTAGAAAAATCACCTTTTTTTCTATGGGGAAAAGGGAACTCTGAGAAATACAGCCTAGGTGATAAATGCTATAATTAGAGGTTCTGTGTAAAGATAGGACTGAATTAAGGCCTTTTGGAACACAGAGAAGAAAAGATTAGGTCTGCATGCAAGAATTTAAGGCTTCTTAGAAGAGATGACATTTGAATTGCACCTCAAAGAACTTGGGCAGACCAAGTAAGGAAATTGAATCAGCAATGAAATCTCCCATCAAAGAAAGTCACAGGACCTGACGGCTTCCCTGATGAGTTCTACCAAACATTTAAAGAAGAACTAATACCAAGCCTTCTCTGATGTTTTCGTGCAAAAGAAAACAAAGGAAAGGGAATCCTTCCAAAATATGAGGCCAAATTTACCCTGATACCAAACCAGGCAAGGATGTTTCAAGAAAAGAAAGTTACAGGCCAAATCCCTGATAATCAGAGGTACAAAAATACTGTACAAAATACTTGCAGATCAATTTCAACAGTATGTTAAAAGAATCATTCACCATTTTCAGGGAGGCAAGGATGGTTCAACATTTATAACAGGATGCAGCACATGTTAACAAAATGGACAAAAACCTATTATCATCTCAATAGATGTAGAAAAAGCATGTGACAAAATTGAATGTTTTTACATGATTAAAAACTCTCAAAACTAGATATATAAGGAATATACATAAATAAAGAACATATATGACAAGTTTGTAGCTACTATCATACTCAATGGTGAAAAGTTAAAAGTTTTTTTCTAAGGTGCACTCTGTGTTCGTCATAGCATTATTCATAATAGTTAAGATATGGATCAACCTATGTGTCAGCAGATGAGTAGGTAAAGAAAATTATATATTATACCAAGTGGAATATTATTCAACCTTGGAAAAAGGAAATCCTGTCATTTGTGGCAAAAGGGATAAACCAAGAAGACATTTCACAAAGCAAACCAAGCACAGAAAGATAAATACCACATGATATCACATGTGGACTCTAAAGAAGTTGAACTCATGCAGAGTAGAATAGTGGTTGTCAGAGGTAATCTGGGAGATGTTAGTCAAAGGCACAAAATGTCATTTAGACAGAAGGAAAAAGTTCAAAGAGATTATTGCATGACATGGTGACAATATATACATATATAAATAGTAATGTATTTCTAAAATGGTAGATTTTTAAAGTATTTTTTCCAGAAAAAATAAGCATATTGTGCATATATTAATTTGCTCAATTTAGCCATTCCACAGTGTAGACATTACAAAACATCCATGTTGCATACCATAGCATATACAATTTTTGTCAATTAAAAAAAAAGACAGGGCTGGGGTTGTGGCTCAGTGGTAGAGTGCTTGCCTAACACACATGAAGCACTGGGTTTGATCCTCAACACCACATAAAAATAAAAGTATCATGTCCATCTACTAAAACTTAAAAATAAATAAATAAAATAAACCCAGCAAAAAAAGTATAGGCATTTTTAAATTTTAATTTGTTATATATAACAGCAGAATGCATTACAATTCATATTACACATATACAGCATTATTTTTCATATCTCTGGTTGTACACGAAGTAGTTATGCCATTTGTGTCTTCATGCATGTTCTTAGGGTAATGATGTCCACTTAATTCTACCATCTTTCCTGCCCCCATGCCTTCCCCTCTCTCCCCTTTGCCCTACCTAGAGTTCATCTAATCCTCCCATGCCCCTGACCCCCAACCCCATTATGAACCAGCCCTCCTTATAGCAGAGAAAACTTTCAGCATTTGGTTTTTTTTGGGGGATTAGCTAGCTTCACTTAGCATTATATTCTCCAATTTCTTCCATTTACCTGCAAATGCCATGATTTTATTCTCTTTTAATGCTGAATAATATCTCATTGTGAATATATATACCACATTTTCTTTATTCATTCATCTACTGAGGGATATCTAAGTTGGTTCCACAGTTCAGTTATTGTGAATTGTGCTGCTATAAACATTAATGTGGCTGTGTCCCTGTAGTATGCTGTTTTTAAGTCCTTTGAGTATAGACTGAGGAGTGGGATAGCTGGGTCAAAGGGTGATTCCATTCCCAGTTTTCCAAGGAATCTCCATACTGCTTTCCATATCGGCTGCACCAATTTGTAGTCCCACCAGCAATGTGTGAGTGTGCCTTTCCTCCTACATCTTCTCCAACGCTTATTGTTTTTGTATTCTTAATAGCTCTCATTCTGACTGGAGTGAGATGAAATCTTAGAGTACTTTTGATTTGCATTTCTCTAATTGCTAGAGATGAAAATTTTTTCATATATTTGTTGATTGATTGTGTATCATCTTCTGAAAAGTGTCTGTTCAGTTCCTTGGCCCATTTATTGGTTGGGATATTTTTTTTGATGTTTAGCTTTTTGAGTTCTTTATATATCCTAGAGATCAGTACTCTATCTGATGTGTGAGTAGTAAAAACTTGCTCCCAAGATGTAGGCTCTCTATTCACCTCACTGATTGTTTCTTTTGCTGAGAAGTAGCTTATTAGTTTGAATTCATCCCATTTGTTGATTCTTGATTTTAATTCTTGCTCTATAGGGTCTTATTAAGGAAGTCAGGGCCTAATCTGACATGATGGAGAATAAGTGCATTAAAAAAAAGAACAAAATGGACATTCACAAGACAGACAAGGTCAGGGAAGCGATTCAAGGCAGAGGAACCAGTATAAGCATAGAACCCTTTTCTGGGACAGTTGCTATACGACATTTGGGGTAGATGAGGAGGTGATTATTTTCATGGAGAGAGATCAAGTTCTTCTTGTTCCTGGGAAATATTTCCTTGATGGAAATATTCCCATCATCATATTCCTCAGACTCTTGATGTCATCAGTTCCTAGAGAGCCTAAAAGAGGTGGCACAGGAACTGGGATATAGTCATGTTTTACAATGTACCCAGAAGAACTGAAGAGCACAGGTTGCATTCAACTTTGAGTAAGCAGTTCTCAACCTGCTTTGTGACTCAGACCTCTTTGAGATAAAGATGAAAGACACATTTAAATAGAATTTTGTATACAGACTCTCTGAAGCTCATCCCTAGTCCTTATATTAAGAAGTCTTGTTTGGACTAGGTGGTGCATATATGTAGTTCCACTTTAGAAATTTTAGAAACTGAGGCAGAAGGATCACTTGAACCCAAGAGATTGAGATCAGCATGGGCAATAGAGCAACACCTTGTTTCAATAAATAATCTTGTCTAAATGAATGAATGGGGGAATAGCTCAATGGTAGAGTGTAGCATGCATGAAGTGCACACAAACACACACACACACGTACACACACACACACACACACACACACACACGGACTCTGGTTGTAATTTATGTCTTGTTAGGAAAGAAGGATCCATAGCTGAGTGTGGTGGCATATATCTGTAATCCCAGCTAGTTGGGAGGCTGAGGCAGAAGAATCTCTTGAACTCGGGAGTTGGTGGCCAGACTGGCATTGTGAAAACTCATCTTGAAAAAAAAATTCAGAGTAGAATTCACAACAAAGAAAATAGAGAATAAAAATTCATTTCATAATGATAAATGAATCAATTAAGAACACATAAAAATTCTAAATGTTTGTGAACTTGATAATAAAACTTCAAGATACATTAGGGGAACACTAATAGAATTGCTAGAAGTAGTAGACAAATCCATAATCAGAAATTTTAACATCTTTTTAATAACTGATAGAACAAGTGGATAACCAGTAAGCATATAAAAAATTGGAACAACACTATCCAGCAATTGGACCTAATTGGCCTATGCATTGGAAAGGAAGATATGCAGCTATATTTTCAGGAAACATGAACATATACATAAAAATATGGAACACATAAAAATCTTTGAAAGAATTTTTTAAAAGTAAATGAATTTTAAAGATCTGTTCATTGTTAACTACAAACCATTGCTAAGTTTAAAGTAAATGGAAATGTGGTATGTTTGTGGATCAGAAGAGTCAATATTGCTAATATGTCAATTATTCCCAGATTAATATGTGCATTCTACACAATCCTGACCAATATCCCAAGTGGCTTTTTTTTTTAAGTTCTGGTAAGATACAATATCTTTATTTATTTATTTATTTATATCCGGTGCTGAGGATCAATCCCAGTGCCTTGCACGTGCTAGGTGAGTGCTGTACTGCTGAGCCACAACCCCAGCCCCCCAAGTGGCTTTTTAAAAATGAGCTGAAATTCTAAAATTCTAAAATTCACATGGAAATGCACAAGACTCAACATACTCAAAACAATTTCAAGAAAGAAGGATAACAGAACTACAATAATGAAGATTGTGTGGTATTGACATCAAGACAGACACATAGATCAATGGAATGGCACAAAATACTATTCCATTTTTGGCAAAGATCATTTTTGGCAAAGATATAAAGGCAATTAATTGGAGAAAGGAAAATCTCTTCAACAAATGGAACATTGGGGATCTGCACGCAAAAAGATGAGCTTCAAGTCCTACTACATGCCATAAAGATCAACTCAAAATGAATCACTAAACCCTCAAACTCAAAATTCTACATGAAAACATGGGGAAAATATTGTTTATTCATTTTTCTCCTTTTATGGATCATGTTTATAGTACTCTTGCTAAGTTATCTTTGAGCAATCCAAGTTCTATTTCCCTATGTTTTCATGTAGAATTTTGAGTAGTATCTTCAAAGAAAAGTTATTTTAAGCAATAACATTTCTTTGAAGATACTATTAACAGAATGAAGAAATCAGCTTCAGAGAAGGAAAAAATAACTGAAAATCATAACTATATCTAGGATATATAAAGAACTCTCAAAACTCAAGAAAACTAGAAAAACAGATAAAAGCTTTGAACACATACTTCACAACAGAAGATACAGGGATGGCAAATGAGTACAGGCATATTACCTGAGTTCATTTATACACTAGGGAATTTAAAATCACAGTGAAATACCCTACATGCCTATTAGAATAATTTGTCCTATTAAAATAATTTTTGAAGTTTATTTAAAAATATGGGAGAGATAAGTGACAGTAGATTGGTGGTTGCCTGAGGAAGAGGAATGTGCTGGAAGTAAGGTGAAAAGATGGGTCATGACAGTATTTAGCTTTGGAACAAACAGACCCTGAACCTGCCCTGAAAAGGTCCAAAAATGGCCACGTGACATTAGGATCATTTAGACCACCATTTAGACCTTGAAGAGGTGAGGAAAGAGTATTTGGGGTCTATGGAGAGGCTGGGAGTCTTGTCTTGACTGTCTTTATGTACACAGTGTATTTGTCAACTCTTGGATGCTCTGACTCTCAGTGGCTCTGGAGGAGTCAATTTGCTCTCACAGATAGAAAATGTCACAGACATGCTGTTCAAGCTGGTGAGTGCTATGGGGCTGGGAGCATTCTGGGCTTGCCTTGTCTCTCTTCTTAAGAGATGATGACTTCCCCAGTGCAGGTGACCATCTCCACATGACAGGTGTCTTTCATGTGGTGTCTGTAGCTATTCACACCTTTGGCTTTCCTGGAGCAGGCAAATGCCTGGATTTTGGCTGCAGAAAAAGATATTCTTTGTTGGTAAATTGGGTACATCGTATGTCTCCCAAGATGACAGGTCTTTGTTGCTTCCCCTAAAATCTGAGAAAAGGGCAGAAGGTTCAAGCCACTCCATCATGCCTATGGGAAATGCCAGGCTTTCTGTATTATGGAGTAGAATAAGAAGACAACTGGACATTTGCAAAAGGGTGATACCTTCCAGAGAATTAATTTGTTGGCTGATGTCTTCCCTCTGGAGCTAAGCATGTTTCTGAGTTGTATCTTCTGGTTTTCCTTCTTGCCAAATACCACACTTTCATGGCTTCATGCCTCAGTTTCCCCATCCATGTGTAGAGATAGTTTCAGTTCTTCCAGGTCTGATGGCCTTGGTTTTCCTATAGGTGAGTGAAAAAATCATCAACACAGATCCTCATTCTGTGCAGAACCACAACGTTTCCCTGAGGGCTTTCTCCCTGTTGAGTAAGTGAACACATTTCCTTCACCCCAGGTATGTGTGTCCTCACTTTTGTCTCTGGACTAGAGTGAGGGCCCATGTTCCGATGGGGTGTGTGCTTCCATCCTTTTAGATAAGATATAAAGTTAATCATGTGAGCTTTGGAATTTAATGAATCTGAAAGGGCATGGGCCTTGGTTCTCCTCCACTCTTTTCAATTCCATTCCCTGGAGTTGGGATTCAATTCCCTTTCTCCATTGGTGAGCTCCAGCTCAGGAAGAGAATAATGTGATTATTACAGCACTGATGGGAATGATTGGTTTGCTGATCTATGGGGGGCAGGTGGTTGGTAGGACCGGGACAAGGTGTAGCTCAGGAAAAATATCTCCATGGCAAATCCTAGACAAATGCCTGTTTTCTTCTGCCTTCTTTTCTTCATAGTAATGGGCCCTAATTTATTCATCCCATGTCATGGGGTTTGCTGTGAATATGATTTATTCCTCCTTATAACTGCCACTTAAACTTACCCTTGATTACCTTGTATTTCTAATAGCCAAGTTGTACAATAATCAGATGGTATCTTTAATACGAAAGACCATGGAATCCAAGGATCCAGCCAGGGTTATGTCAGCCCTTCAGGTCTTCCGGGATGTATTCCATGTTGGTGAGTGGGAATGGGGATGGTCCTGGGGCTTTAGGACTTGGTCTTTCCTAGGAAGGAGATCTCCTTTCTCAGGGAGACTGTCCAGTGAATTAGTTAAAAGGATGATTTTAAATTCAAAGTAAACTTAGTGTGTTCAATCTTGGCTTTGCATCTTACTAACTATGCAACCTTGGGCAGATTACATTTAATCTCTACCTCTATTTCCTCATTTTCAAAAATGGAGGTAAAAGTTATGTCTGTCTTCAGTGTTTTTTAGTGAGGATTGAAGAGAAAACAGGTGAGCTGCTTAGAACAGCTACCATGCCATTGGTTTGAGTGGTATATGTATGATTTTCCAAGAGAGAGTTTCCCCTCCTATCAAATGTTTTATGAATCTTTCACTGTGTGCTTAGCATAGTGCTAGGCACTGAGAATACACACATAAAACACATTTCCTGCTCCCAAGAAACTCACTATTGAACAGGTGGTATGGAGTATAAAACAATGCCAGAAAGTTCAGAGGTGAAATGATTGTTAGGAGAGCCTTAACCTTATCAGTGCATTAATCCTCTGATGGATTAACTGGTTGGTAACTGTAGGCAGGTAGTGTGTAGCTGGAAGAAGTAGGTCACTGGGATAGGTTTTTGGCATATGTATTTTGTTCCTGGTGAACAGAGCAACGTTCCCCCCCCCCGCCCCCACCACCACACCACCCTTTGTTGCTATGTCCTGAGCTGTTTTGCTTTGCCACACGCTTCTGCCATGATGTTCTGCCTCACCTGGGGCCCAGAGCTATGAAGTCGGCCATCTAAGGACTGAGACTTCCAAACCTTGACCCCCAAATAGACTTTTTCTCCTCTAAAAATGTTTTTGTCAGGTCTTGTGGTCACAGTGACAGAAAACCTGACTAAAATAACAGAGAAGATGAGGATTTTCCCACTGGGAAGTAATGTAGGACAGTATGTACTCCATTACTGAAATGAATGTTGGCAGGGTATGACAGGGATACAGAGAAGGGATCTATCAGGGTAGCTGGGATGGGCTTTATGTAGGTGATTTCACTGAAAACAGAGAAGGAAGGAGATTGCAATAGTATATCAGGAGAGGGAATTTACCTCAAAGAACAAAGGTCAAAGTTCTAAAGGTTGAGGTGGAAGAGGTGGGGTAGAATAGCTTGGCTGGGGAGATGAATTTGTATGTTTAGCCATGGAAGATTGGAAGGAATGGGGCTTAGATGCCAGCTGGATGAAAGTACTGTTTCAGATCACTTTTAAGTCCAGGCTAATCATGTTCAGGGTGCTTAGGAGTCAAGGGAGGGCTGAGATGCCTTCGGAGACTCCACCTAGCCTTGGAGGCCAGTACTGTGCCTGGAATTCTTCCCATTTGTCTTCTTATCTTTCTCCAGAAACAGAGGAGGAGGAGGGAGGAAGCTGACCTCTAGCTGCATGTATGTGTTTTCTCTAGTGTCCCAGACAGAGAAACTGCGGAGTGAGGTGATAAATTCTGTCATCATCGTGATACAGGAGGATTTCAAGCCAGTGAGCAGAGGATGAATGTTTGTCCTGGGAGGGCCATTGCTTTCTTGAGCCTTTAAGGTGGTATAAAATGGAGGGGGGGGGCGATGGGAAATGAGGAAGGTCTCACAGCCAGTCCAGTTCTGTCCTGAGACCTCTGTCCTTGGGTTACATTGGAGTTTTTCAGAGCCTGAGAAGGAGTTGAGCAATGGGCAGTACTTAACAGCCTTTTTCTGAACCGTTTCTGTGGGCAGCAGTGTGGTGTCTCCAGTGTGGTGGGGACACAGCTCTAAATGACATTAATTTAGATCCCTGAGAACACACAACTGCTGTTTTGTTTTGAGAGAAAATCTCCATATCATGTCTGGGGTGGGATCCTGACAAGCTGTATTTTGAACAAGCTCCACTGCCAGCGCTGGAAGCAGCAGAGTCTCCCATTTCTGGATTGAGCAGGACAGAGCACTGAGGCGGCTAAAGCAGGGACAGTGGTTTTGAGTAGCAAGTGGAGAATAATGACACTATCCTAAAAAAGAGAGGCCTAAATCCCTAGAAGATTAATGAATAGGTGGGGTCTTGGGGGTGGGCTGTCAGGAGGGATAGATTCATCCCTGGCTTTACCTTGGAAGGCCATAGCATAGGAACCTTCCTGAACTCAGATTCGTCCCCTCCCTAACACTTCTGCCATTTTCAGTGTCTCTGGGGACAAAAAGTACTTAGCATTCTGTAGGAGTATGATAGAATTGAAGTGGGTTGAAACTTAAGGACAGAGTACTAAAGTGGTCAGGTTCATTGGCAGGTGGTCTGTCATGACCATTGAGTCAACAGAAGAGTCACACTGGGCTTGGAGTAGGGAGATTTGGAGTAGGGAGATTTGGAGTAGGGAGATTTGGAGTAGGGAGATTTGGAGTAGGGAGATTTGAGTAGGGAGATTTGGAGTAGGGAGATTTGAGTAGGGAGATTTGAGTAGGGGGATTTGGAGTAGGGAGATCTGGAGTGGTCCTCTGTGTCCTCACTGGAACATGAGGGATCTGTCAGCCACCCCTGAGATATCACTCCCAGTCTTGCCCTGTGATGGTCTGTGCCCCCACAGGTGCGTGGAGCCCTCCTGAACTTCATTGAGACCCTGAGCCAGTATGACTACTTAACCCTGTCCCAGGGGAACGTGGTCATTGACTACCTCATCAAGCTCAGCCAGTCCAACTCCTCAGTGAGTAGAGGCCAGAGGCAAGGGAGGGCACCGAAGGGAAACAAGCCTCAGGGTGGCAGAAAGAAAAAAAGGACAGGGTTAAAAACACCAGGGCAAGGAGAGGGAGGGACAGCTGGCAAGATGTGGAGGAGCTTCGGTGCCTAGGACCCTGATCAGGGAGGAAGCCAGTAAAGGCCTCACATTGACTTCAGATTTCAACTTTTTCCTTTTCTTATCTCAGAATGAAGAGGATATTCGAATAATGTGCTTCAAAATCCTACAGATGGTACAGCTAAATGGAGTCAAAGGGCTTTTTTTCCTCTTCCACTGGCTTCCAGATCACTACTCTGCCCCATCTTCCACTCCCCCTCCATCTTATTCCTTGTTCTGTCTTTGCCATTCCTCACCACCTCCATCTATTCTCCTCAGGTGCTGGGGCCCCCTTTGAGAAGCAGCTTGGCAGAGTACAAGGAGGACATTGGGCAGCAAGACTGGAGGCCTGAGTCTGAGTCTCACTGCTGGTTTCTAGTTGTAGAGTCTTGAGCAAACTGCTCTCAGGACCACACTCCTTCTGTAATAAAAGGGGAGATCATGTGCCCTGCATGCTCACAGAACCTCCAAGTATTCATGGCTGCCTTTAGGCACTGACTCGTGGATCAGAACTGAGAAGAGGGGCCAGGAGGGAAAACAGTTGTGATTTTTGCTCCTCCCTGGATTTGTAGTCCTTCTCACTCTTGAAAAGCTCGTCTCCAGACCATTAGCATTTTTTTTTCTGCATCTGGAATGTTTCCCCATGAAGGCAACTAAAAGTCTCATAGTTCCAGATTTCACAAAGCCCCTCTCTGTAATCATTTCCTTCCTAGTGTTATTTTAACAGCACCTCAGTTACATTTCACTAATATCAGCTGAAAGGGGGAAGAAGAGAGGGTAAAAGGGAGGGAGAGAAGGAGCTAGGGAAGGAAGACAGAATATGGTTGAATGGGAGGGATGCTAGGTGTACGTACAGATCTCAAATACCCCTCTAGGAAACCAGGAAAGGAATACAAGATCATGGGTTAGAGAATATATGATTGGGGCTGCCTTGCTCTTGGTGTTGAAGCTCTGGGCATGTCCCTTGCCAGGTGTCCTTGCCCATACTGATTACCTTGGTGTGTCATCCCAGCAACATCTTGGCCTTTGTGACTCTGAGTAAGGCAGCCACAGAGATAGCTCTAAAGGCACGGACCCTGGGCCAGGTCCCCTACCTCAGCAACTTCCACCTCATGCGTGAGTACAGGGGAGGGGCAGCCTCTGGACAGGTGGCATCTGTGAGCATCCAGGCTGCGACAGGCCTGGTGGGGTGGGAGGCAGCTGAGACCCTGTGGGGGTGGCAGGTGGAGGAGGGAGGGGTGCAGAACTATGATGTGGGTAAGGCTGCAGTGGGGACTTGGCCCAGGCATGAGTGAGAAAGCAGAGGGTCGGGGCAACAGCCTGAGACCTCTTGGCCCCTTATGATCCACAAGGGGCCTCCTCTGAAAGAGAAGCAGCCCTGGACACAGTTTCTTCCTGCCACTAGTCTTTATTTTGAAGCACCGGAGTCAAGATGTGAAAACACTGTTGGTTAATTATAAAGTCATGGGTCCACAGGCATTCCTGATCCTTTGTTTTTCCTTGGCCCTGATTTGGAGACTTACCCCATACTTACCCCATCTCTGACCTGTAGTCCTGGTGGAGTTAGGGATGGGGTAAGGGTGTCATTCAGCACATTATTATTTTAATTTTTAAATTGAATATACTGTTTGATCTTTTTCCCTTTTCTGAGTCAAAAATGTCACAGGCATTGTGACAATGCACTGGCATTGATGCTCCTTCTCCACTTTGCATTTTCACCTCCTGTGTGGCTCTGATGGTGGCTGCCAGTGCACTGACTCTGTACCCTTCCTTTATCTTCTCAGCTAACCAGGTCGTCTCCCCTCAGAAACTACTGACCTATCTTCTGGTAAGTGATGCTGGGATGAATATTCTTGTCTCCATCTATTCATCCACACACCATCACTCATCTGTCTGTCCGTCCATCTAGTCATCCCTAAATAGTTTGAGAACTACTCTATTCTAAGTGTTATGCTGGATATGGAATAAAGAGGTAAGGCCAAGGATCATGGCAGTCCCTGGGAGATCCAGTCTTGGCCAAGAGCATGGGAGAGGGAACTGGAGCTTAAGTGGTAGGACATGGAGCCTGGGAACTGAAGGTAAGATGCAAAATGCCTGACCTGTCTCCTCTGTGGCTCAATGGCGAACCTATTTCTGTTGGCCTTGGATAAGTGCACATGCCTTTCTGGATGTCATTTTTCTCAATAAGTGCGTTTTGTATCCCTGTCTGCTCACCACTGTGACAAGACATTATGAATATTTGGAGGGATGGAGGGACCAGATATAGACCTGCCTTTGAGGTGTTCATAGTTGTAATGAGGGAGACAAATGACAATAATCTAGTCATTACAGATCAGTGTAACAAGTATATCAACAGGAACCTACAGATTCAGTGGGGTCTTAGCAGAGTAACGGGCCAATTTGGCCCCCAGGAGTCATGGCAGAAGAGGTTTTATTTGAGGGCATTTTGGAGAACATGTTCAACAAGTGGGGAAGGTCTCAGCTTCAGATCTACCCTTCTGTGGTTTTATTTAATTTTCTTCCTTCTCTTAAATTTTTTTCTCTGCCTCCTGTTTGCTTTTCTTGTTTCTCAGTTGCTTTCCCTGAAGCCTTACAGAGAAAAGGAGTTTGGTGTGAGCTCCTTAAGGCTCTTATATGCCTTGCATCCTATCACTTCCCTGCATCCTGTTATCAACTCAGATGTGGGCCAGGTTTGGAAGAAGGAGATACCCCAGATGTTGCAGATCCTAGATGGTGAGGGGTGTGCTGGGAGTGTGGAGGGATGGAGCTGGGGCAGTGGGGGAAACTCCAGAAGGGTCTGAGTCACAAGGAATAGGAAGGATCTGGTTAGGGTTGAGGAAGTGTGAGAATAGCTGCTTTTCGCCTAGTTGATGTGATGTGTGCTGCAAATTCTAGTTCAGAGTTCTGTATCTCTAGAGTTCCAGAGTGACTATTGCTCCTTCATGTTGGTAGAGGATTAGGGGAGAGTGTGACAGGCTTTCAGACAGACCCAGGTTTGCATCCTTGCTCTGACAGACACTGACCAGCTATGGGTGTCTGATCTTTGGGATGTCACTCATCTGTTGGGGCCTCATGAAGTGGGCTAGCAGTTGTCTTGCTGGGTTGTAGTGAGTGTGAGATGAGAGGTAGAATGTTCTGATGTTGGTACTTTTTTCCCTGACTGGGGCCTTCTGATCTGGTGGGCACCATTACTGTCATCTTTTCCAGATAATACTGAGAAGACCCTGAATCAGAAGGAGTGGGAGGAAAGACTCCTCCATGTGAGGCCCTCCCTGAGAGACACCTCTCTCCACCCAGTGAGGTTCCCTCTTCAGCATCCTAGGGGAGGAGAGGATCTGGGAGCACCATGGCTAAGGCTACAATMGTGGAACCTCCATGGCCAAGGGAACCTTTGTCTGGCCATTCATGCTGCCTGGTCTCTATATTGGAGACTCTGATGATACTCTTAAGCCTTGACCCACTTTTCATGTCCCCACAAGGCCCAACCTTTGGTGAAGAGCAAGGAAAGACCCCTGATTGTGTGTCCTTGGGCAAGTCATTTAGCCTCCCCCAGACTACTGCCTCTTCATCTGCAACCTGGAAATGATCATTGCTATTTCACACAGTTCAATAGGATGATAAAGGAGAGGGCCTTGTGACCTGGAAGGGCCTGCTTCATATATGACTTGTCATGACCAYTATTCTAGTGTTGTTCTTGAGTCCTCAATCAAGCCAGACCCCATTTTTAATTTTTCTCTCTGTATTTCCATAGAGTGCCCTTGACTCTTGGTTTTGTCTCACCCCACTTCTATGAGGCAGAAAAACTTACCCACCTTTCCTTGTGGCTCTCTCCTCCCTTCCTCTTTCTCAGTTTTCAGGTCAGTCATTAGTGGCCATCAATGATGATGACTGGCTGGAAAAACTCGCCAAAACCATCTTGGAGAAGATAAATTACTTTAATGATGATGAGGAGAAGGTAGGTGTGTGTGTGTGATTGGGGTGAGAGTTGTAAGGGAGGCAGGTGGGGATATGGGGGTAGGGGAGGAGCCTGGTGGGAAGGGCTATAGAAATGCTCAAGAAGGATAGGTCTTGGGAGCAAGAGTAAAGTGGTGTCCCTGGGTCCCGAGGAACTGAGGAATGGGGAAGATCACCCTGGAATGGCAATAGCATGAAAGTATCTCACATTTGCTTAGTGTTTTAGGCTTTATTTTCTGTTGTCTTAATGGAACCTCCCAGAAATTCTTAACAGAATAGAGCTGGTACTTGGGTGCAATGGAAAGATTATTGACCATAGAGTCAAACTTAAGCAAGTTAATTCAAACTATTTGAGGATGCAGCACATGGCTTGAGGACTGTGCTTGGTGTTAGGATCCACAGCTGATGGAGATAGTGGGGCACCTTTCCCTTATGGTGCTTGGGTCAGTGATGGCAAAGACCTGGGTCCTGACCCTGGCTGTTTGAAGTGTTCTGGGTATCATGTGTCTTAACCTGTTTAATCTAACTCGCCCACTTGGGAAATGGCAAAAATAACCTCTACATCCTAGGAGGATTGATAAAGAGCAAACATGGGGTTCCTGAGAAGATACTTTGTTATCTCAAAAGGCTAAACAACCCAGAATCCAGGGGTTTTATAGTCCTAAGCAGATTGTTGTACAACTGGCATTTGAATCTAAGTTCTTTGATTTTTGATTTTGTTTTCCTGTCCCTGAGCAATACTTTATTTCAGCTTAGGAGTCTCCAGGCAAGACACCTGCCTCACTTCCAGGACCCTAAGTATTGGAAAATATTTACAAAGCACCTACAAGGTGCACTGCATTGTGGATGGTGGCTTAGGGATGCAACATGACACGAGCAGGAATTCTTATCTTACAAATTTAGTTACTAGAAATATGTACTAGGTACCCACAATGCAGCAAGCCCTGTTAGGCCCAGATTCCTCATGTGAAAGACAGGTCCTGTCTTTAGGAAACCATGTCTACTTGAGGGATTGATCTGCAGAGGGGAGTGAATGTGTGGCCTATGAAGAGGGACAAAGCAGCTTTCTTGGAGATGATCCACAATCTTGATTTCCTTGTGGTTGTCCCAGGTATTTTTTAGTTGGTGTATTACAATTATAGATAGCAGTGGATTTTGTTGTCACATATTTGCACATATGCATAATATAAAATATAATTTGTTCACTTTCATTAGGGTTAGTCCTAGGTTTAGCACTGAAAGCCCAGGAAAGGCCTTCGTCCTGGGCAAACTGGGAAGATGGGCCACCTTGCAGAGGAAGATGAGTAGGAATTGCCAACTAAAATCAGTGCCTTAAATTAGGTGATAGAAGCAGAGACTGAGGTGTTAAGAGTCTTGTGTAAGTGATCTATCATGTTGGTGGGAATTGCACCCTTGGGAGAAGCTGGAGTAGAGTTCAGGAAGCTAGATGGGGAAGGACAGAAGCCCTACAAGGACCTGGTCCAGCCTCATGGAAAGTCTTTGGTATAAATTGCATTGCAGAGTCTTTCCTGCCTAGAGGCAAGCAAGGGGGCTTTGTGCCTTGGTCCCTGCCTGTCTCTCTGCTCTTAGCTTCAGGCTTCCATGGTTAGGAGGAGACTATATAAGAAGACGGAGGAATGCAACTTCAAGGCTCTACTGGGCACAGAGGCCCATATTAACCTTGGGAATGATGGGATAAGTCTACAGGAAGAAACTGGCCTGCAGCCAGTCACAGGAAAAGTGCTCTCAAGGGAGCCAACAGCACAGGATAGAGCGGGGAAGAGGTTCTGGCAAGACATTCAGGCATCAAGGGGGACATCTGCATGCATGCTGTTCATGCTCTGCATAGGCACTGGTGACCAACAAGATAGACAATGCATCTGAGCTTTATTCTGGGCAGAGATCTGGGTTGGGGAGAGACAGGAATAAACCAAGCAAATACATGAGCAGGATTGCTAGTGACTGATGAGATTCTTAAAGAAATGAAGAGTATGGTGCACTGGAGGGGACCTTAAGGGGAGGTCATGGAAGGCTTGGGGCTAACATGAGTGAAAGAAGAATGAGACAGCATTTTAAAGAGTAGGGGAAGAGTGTACAGATAGAAAAAAATAGGAAATGCAAAGACACTAAGGTGGAAAGTAGAGGAGCATGTAAATATGGGTATCCAAAGTGAATAGGGCAACCTAGTAAGCAAGGATAAAGATCATTGGATTGTATAGGAGGGAGGAAGAAATACTATGTAAACATACCTACTGGGCTGGGGATATAGCTCAGTTAGTAGAGTGCTTGCCTTGCATGCACAAGGTCTTGGGTTCAATTCCCAGCAGCACATACAAGCACACACAGACACAAGAAAAGAAAGAAAGAAAACATACCTTCCATTATGCAATTTTGATTTAAACATGCAAATTTAAGGAACTGTATTTCCCACATGGAAGTGGGAAGTTTGTGGATCAGGGAGTTTCTTAAGATGGGATGCTCCCTTCCCTAAGAGACTGAGAAATGAGATATACAACTTTTCTTCCCTTCAGCTTTAGCTRCTGTACTATGAGGCTGCTATCTTATCCATACTTGCACCCTGACCCTGAGGACCAAGAAGGCTGGTGGGGAGGTTGGGAGAGAAGGGGAGAATGGTTTGGCTGACAATTCTTGTCTCTGAAATGACTGTTCCCTTGGTTACTCCAACTTCATTCAAAGCTTTGATGACTTGCCCTCCCATCCGTCCCAGGCTTTCCTATATAAATTCTTTGGCTTTACCCTGCGGACCTCAAGGAATCTTCAGCTGGTGAAGACCATGCTCTCATCCATCCTGAACAGTGCCCATGAGGAACTGCAGGAGAGAGAGGTGAGGCAGAGGACCCTGGCAAAAGGGGAACACTTTTCATTTTAGAGAGGAAAAGCCAGACTACCTGAGTTGCAATCTCAGTCGTGCTCCTTACTAGGTGTGTGCCTTTGGGTAGATTGCTAAATCTCTCTGTTCCTCTGTAAAATGAGGCTATGGTACCTTCCTCCTAGGATATTTTTGTAAAAGCTTTTTGTTTTGAAATAATTTCATATTTGCAGAAAATTTATCAAAGAAAACCAAACAATAGTATAAAGAATTTCTATATATATCCTTCTTTCAGATTTCCCAAAGTGTAACATTTTCCTTTGTACTATCATCTATCTCTTTTCCTCATATATATGTATTTATAAACATGCATATTTATTATTTTATGAATCATTTCAGGGAATTGTGTGATGCTCATTTACCTCTAAATACTTCAGTGTATATTACCTACAAACAAAAATTTTCTCAGATATAGTCACAGTGAAAAATCAAAATCAGGAAATTAACATTGCTATAGTATCATTATCTAATTTTTAGACCCAATTCAAAAATTGCCAATTGTTCCACCAATATTATTTTTTCCTTTCTTTCTTTTTTTTGGGGGGAGGGGTCTCCCTAAAATACTGAGGATGTCCTTGTGATTCTCCTGCCTCAGCCTCCCCAGTTGCTTCACAGAGTAACCTTAATAAGGGCTCATGGTGGTGATTGAGACTACTGCTGCTTGGGCTGGTGGGGATAGTGTAGTTGGAGGGAAGCAGGTCTTCCCACAGGATAATTTTCCCCAAGCTGAGAGTGGAGAGAAGAAAAGAACTTTGGGGCATGTCTGGAGAGCAGTCGTTTTCTGGTTGTACTGGAATGCAGAGTTCTTTGACAGGGAAGTGAAAGTTATCCTCTGCCAATACTTGGGAACAGAATGGATGCAGGGAATAAAGATAAGAGCAAGGTGAATGCCTCAGATGGTTCCTGGGTTTCTGTTGTCCCAAGTTGGGAGATTCGTAGTATTTTTGGTGGGAGTGAGGAATTCAGGAGAAAATGAGGGAGCAAACTGATGTAGTTGACTTTTGACAGAAGGCGTTGGGGTCCCCATGGTATAGCCAGATAGGAGGGTCTAGTAGCCAAGGAGATAATGGATCTCTGATCTGGGCTGGACATCTGGATTTGTGAGCCATTATACTTCCCTGTGTGTAAGATGGGGATGATAATGTCTACATTAAAACCTTAGTGTGAGGATCATTGAGATAACATGGGTAAGGCTGGCACAAACTTAAGTACAGATATGGGCAAATGAGCATGGATGACAATGACCATGATGAGTAGAAGCTGATAGCTAAGGGAGGACCTGAGAAGAGAAACTCAAGAGAACCCTTTCAATATGCTCAAGTAGTCCTTGTTTTATAACTAGGAAAAATTTTTCCTTTATCTGTTTGGAGGTCAATGGTCTATACATCTCAATAATTCTTTTCTGGGGCAAGGGTTCCTGATCTCTGTTTCCCATTCTGCCTCCTCTTAATGGTGGCTCCACCTATAGTAAGAGCGAAATAACTAGCTGGTTGGTAAATAGTTGGCATCTGTATCTCTATATTGGTAGTGATCCTTGTGAGTGAGATCTAGGGAAAGCAAACACTTAAATCAAAAGAGTCTGCCATGAGACAAAGGGATTTGAATTAGATTGTGACCCCACAACTGACCAGTCACCCCATTAAATCAATGTGGCCTCTTCCAGCCTCTAGATAGCAACAAATTAAATGAGAGGGACTAAGTACCCATGCAGTGGGATCTCTTAAGAATCCATCTAGAAATAACTTGTAGAGGGGTCAGTACTAGTTGAAAGTTGTTCAAACTCCTTCTCTGCGCTGCCAACAAGGGAAGTGGGATGGAACAGCCTGGCCCGAGAAGTGCTTACTCAGTCCATCACTCTGCATAGCTTCTGCAGGAGCCAGGGAGCTGGACAGAGACTGAGCAGAGAATGCTTGCAATTTATGAGAAGTGAGATCTCAAATCCAAGTGGCAAAGCAGTTTTGGTCTTAGTAGAGGAAAGGAGAGCAGTCAGGATTGCTTAGGTTGTTGGGAGGAATGGTGAGAAGTTGTCTGTGCCTAGAAGCCTAGAGGGACTGTTCCCCTGATTGTGGTCACAGTCTGCATGGGCCCTGTCCTGGAGGGAAGCTTCCTGGATATCTAGTGGCATAGAGGGATGGTTTCCAGATTGTGGCAGCAGCCTATAGAAGGCCATGATGAGAAGTTGCCCGAGTACCTAGGAAGCTTAAAGGAAAGGGTGCCCAGATCATTACCATAGCCAGTAGAAGGTCAGTCAAAGCAGAAATTTGCCTGGGTCCAAGGCAGCAGAGAGTGATGGCTTCTTGCTTGACTGGGCTCCCAGCCTGACCCATGGTGGCAACTGGTGAGTGTTAGGGCACTATTTGGGACACTGGCTGGACCATGCCTCAGTCATTGAGCAGAGGGAATCAACACTTACCATTCACAATCTGGGGCAGGAGAAGTTGGAACCCAGGTGAACCAGTTGAATATCTTTACTCAATACTAAAGACAGTATCTCAGTGAGCTATGTTGGCCAAGAAGAATGTGTCTATACCACAGATCACCTGTACAGAATCCACAACTGCAGGACCTATGCTTATAGATAGCCACCAGTCTCTACCACGAAAAGGATCCTGTGAGAGAGGAATGGGTACATAGTGACCCACAGTAATCAGGACAGCCAAGAACCCTGCATCCTGAACTACTGTACGCAATAGAAATAATCAACAGACACTGCACCCTCTGAGTAGCAAGCCACAGGTCCCTGAGCTGTCAAACCAGAACTAGCTGGTGGGAGGTCCATAGCAACTATGAGAATGGCCCCTGTGTCCCAGTTTCTGTGGAGGGATCCAGCGCCAAAGACTGACAGATGTCTTCTAAATGTGCCAAATCCTAATGAAATCCAAAGCCAGATTCAAAAAGAATTTTCTTAACTTTTTTTTTTGGTGGGGAAGGAGTTACTGGGGATAGAATTCAGGGGCACTCAATCACTGAGCCACATCTCCAGCCCTATTTTGTATTTTATTTAGAGACAGGGTCTCGCTGAGTTGCTTAATGCCTCACCATTGCTGAGGCTGGCTTTGAACTCTTAAGAGGAAAAAAAGCTCACACAGGGGTCCCTTGTTTAAAAGAAGAAGTTATAACCATCCCAATAGATGGGCAAGCAATATGAAAAAGCAAGAGTAAAAACTGTCCCAAACAGCCCACAACATGACACACTATTGACTTTGTTGACACCACAGTGGAGAAATGTCAGAGAAAGAATTTACAAATTTCACAGTTAAATTTTTCAGAGAGCTAAAAGAAGACATAAGGGGTAAAATTAGAAAATACAGGAAGTGAAAGATCACTTTAATAGAAATTCTGAAACAGAACCAAATAGAAAATTCAGTGGAAAGCATCACTAATAGATCAGACCATTTTTAAATTGAAAAATGACAGCTGAATGCATTACAATTCATACAATTACACATATATACCACAATTTTTCATATCTCTGTTTGTATATAAAGTATGTTGATATCCAATTCRTGTCTTCATACTTGTACTTTTGATAATTATGTCCATCACATTCCGCCATCCTTGCTGATCCCCTGCCCCTCCCTTTCCTTCCCACCCTTCTCCCCTATCTAGAATTCATCTATTCCTCCCATGCTCTCCCTCCCTACCCCACTATGAATTAGCCTCGTTATATCAGAGAAAACATTCGGCATTTGTTTTTTTGGGATTGGCTAACTTCACTTAGCATTATCTTCTTCAACGCCATCCATTTACCTGCAAATGCCATGATTTTATTCTCTTTTAATGCTGAGTAAAATTACATTGTGTATATATGCTACATTTTTTTATCCATTCGTCCACTGAAGGGCATCTAGGTTAGCTCCACAATTTAGATATTGTGAATTGTGCTGTTATAAACATTGATGTGGCTGTGTACCTGTAGTATGCTGTTTTTAAGTCCTTTGGGTATAGTCTGAGGAAAGGGATAGCTGGGTCAAATGGTGGTTCCATTCCCAGATTTCCAAGAATAGATCAGACCATTTTGAAAGTATATTTTCAAAGTCTTGGATGAAACAAAGCATATAATCATTTTTTATATTTATTTACTTATATTTTACTGTTTCTGAATGATCTTAGGGATAAAGATTGCAAGTGTCTCTTTTTTTGGTACTGGGGACTGAAGTCAGGGGCACTCAACCACAGAGCTGCATCCCAACTCTATTTTCTATTTTATCTAGAGACAGGGTCTCATTGAGTTGCTTAGCACCTCACTATTGCTGAGGCTGGCTTTGAATTCATGATCCTCCTGTCTCAGCCTCCTGAGCCACTGGGATTACAGGCATGTGCCACCATGCCCAGCCCAACCAAGATTTCTGTACCCAACAAAATTATGAAATAAAACCTCCCACAGAGACTAAAAACAATACATAACTGTGAAGTCTGTAGTACAAACCCTACTTGATTAAATATTTCATGAAGAAGAAATGATAAAATAAAAATGAAGACCAGTATAGGAATAAATTATACTTGAAGAATCATCAAAGGAAATCAAATCTAAATTAAATATTCAAAATAAATAAAAATAGCAGGAAATAAAAATCATTTCTAAATGATCTAAACTCTAATCAAAAGACATAGATTAGCAGGTTGGGTTAAAATTTTAAAAAGACCCAACAATATGTTGTTTGCAGGAGACTCACTGACAAAGACTGAAGGTGAAAGATGGGAAAAGATACCATGCAAATGGTAGCTGAAAGAAAGTAGGGGTAGCTACTTTCACATCAAACAAAGTGGACTTCAAGCCAAAATTAATCAGAAGAGACAAGAGGTCACTTCATACTGGTTAAGGGAATCGTCCAACAATAGGTATAATAATTGTAAATATTTATGCCTCAAACAGTAGAGCATCTACATACATAAAACAAACCTTTCAACACACCTCTCATTACTAAATAGATCATCCAAACATAAACCAAGATTCTTCAGAACTAAAAAAATCCTACTAATCAAATGGACCTAATAGACATCTATAAAACATTTCATTCATCAATGACTAAACTTATTTTCAGCAGGGCATGAAATAATTTCTAAAATAGACCAGAATTTAGGTCACAAAGCAAATCTTAGCAAATACAGAAAAATAGAGATAATTCCTTACATCCTATCAGATCATAATGGAATGAAATTAGAAATCAATGACAAGATGAGGGGCTGGGGATGTGGCTCAAGCGGTATCGTGCTCATCTGGCATGCGTGCGGCCCGGGTTCGATCCTCAGCACCACACACAAACATACAAAGATGTTGTGTCCACCGAAAACTAAAAAAAATAAATATTAAAAAATTCTCTCTTTCTCCCTCTCTCTCCCTCTCTCTCCCCTCTCTCCTCTCTCATTCTCTCTTTAAAAAAAAAGAAATCAATGAAAAGATGAAAAACAGAAATCACTATAACAATAGGAGATTAAATAATACACTTTTGAATGATGATTGGGTAGCAGAAGAAATCAGGAGAGAAATTTTAAAAATTGAGAATAGTTATACAACATATTAAAATGGCACTATGAAGGCAGTTCTAAGTGGAAAGTTCATAGCATTGAGTTCATACATTAAAAAAAAAACAAATAATCTAACATTACACCTCAAAACCCTAGAAAAAGAAGAAAAAACAAACACCCAAATCAGTAGAAGATAGGAAATAATTAAAATTAGAGCTGAAATCAATAAAATTGAGAATAAAAATGCAGAGTTGGTTTTTTGAAAGGATAAACAAGATTGATAAACACCCATGGGCTGGGGTTGTGGCTCAGTGGTAGAGCACTTGCCTAGCATGTGCAAGGCTCTGAGTTCACTTCTCAGCACCATATAAAACTAACTAAATAAATAAAGGTATGGTGTTCAACTACAACTAAAAAATAAAACATAAAAATATTTAAAAAATTGTTAAAACCCAAACTAATCAACAAAATTAGAGATGAAAAAGGACTCTATTGAAATCCAAAGGATCATCAGAGACAACTGTGAAATTTTTACTCCAATAAGCTAGAAAATCTTGAAGATCTGGACAAATTCCATGATCTACCCAAATTGAACTGGGAGGATACAGAAAACAGATGCTTCACATCTATCAAAACCCTGAAAACAAAGAAAAGCTCAGTAATGGGCAGATTCTCAGCTAGTTCTACCAGACCTTTAAAGAAGAACTAATACTAATCCTCCTCAAATTATTATGGAATGGAAAAGGAGGGAACACTTCCAAATTCATTCTATGAAGCCATTAACTCCCTGATACCAATACCAGACACACCAAGGAAAGAAAATTTCAAACCAATATCCTTGATGAACATAGATGCAACAACATACAAACAACAACAACAACAACAACAACAAAAACATTTAAAAGATAGTGCACCAAGATCAAGTAGGTTTCATTCCAGGATGCAAGATTGGTTCAATGTATGCAAATAAATAAATGCAAATCAATAAATCTACCACATAAATAGATTTAAGGACAAGAATCACCTGATTATCTCAATAAATGCAGAAAAAGGATTTGAAAGTACAGTACCAATTCATATTTAAAACTCTAGAGAAATTAGATATGGAAGGAATTTAACATTGTAAAGGCTATAGACAACAAACCTCCAAACCAACAACATACTGAATGGAGAAAACTGAAAGCATTTTCTCCAAAAACAGTGTCTCCAAAGACACTCTTACCACTCCTATTCAACATAGTCCTTGAAAGGAATTAAGAGCATATAAATAGGAAAAGAAGAGCTCAAATTGTCTGTTTGCAGATGACATCCTATATTTAGAAGATCTAAAAAACACTACCAGAAGATGTCTAGAGGTGATAAATTTAGTAAAGTTAACAGGATACAAGATCATAATAAACCAATCACTTTCCTATACTCTGAGTCTGCTGAAAAAAGAAATCAGGAAAACAATCCTATTTACAATAACAAAAAAAATCTAAGGAGGTGAAGGACCTCTACAATGAAAATTATAGAACACTGGAGAAAGAAATTGAAGACCTTAGAAGATGGAAAGAACTCCTGCGTTCTTGGATAGGCAAACTAATATTGTCAAAATGGCCATATTACCAAAGGTATCATACAAATGCAATGCAGTCTCCACCAAAATATCAATTACATCTTCCCTGCACTAGAAAAAGCAATTTTAAAACAAGAGACCCCAAATAGCCAAAGCAATCCTGAGCAAAAAGAGCAATGCTGGAGGCATCACAATGTAGGACCTCAAAATATTCTACAGAGCGGTAGTAATAAAAGCAGCATAGTCCTGGCACCAAAACAGACATGAAGACCAATGAAATAGAACAGGGGACACAGAGACAAACCCATATAAATAGTTATTTGATATTAGACAAAGGTACCAAAAACATATATTGGAGAAAAGATAACCTTTTCAACAGATGGTGCTGGGAAAACAGGAAATCCATATGCAGAAGAATGAAACTTGACCTCTGCACAAAAGTCAACTCAAAGTAGATCAAAGACCTGGAAATTAAACTAGGAACTCTACAACTGCTAGAAGAAAATGTAGGCCCAAATTAAAAAGCTTCTGCACAGCAAAGGAAACAATGAAGAGAGAGCCTACAGAATGGGAGATCTTCATTACCTGCTCATTAGATAGGGCATTAATATCAAGAACATATAAAGAAATAAAAAATACCAAAAACTCCCAAATAACCCAATTAATAAATGAACAAAAGAACTAAACAGACACTTCTCAAAAGAATAAATACAAATGTTTGATAAAAATATGAAAAAATGTTCAACATCTCTAGCAATTAGAAAAATGCCAATTAAAACTCCAGACAATTATAAAGAATACAAATGCTATTAAGTGTTGGTGAGGATGTAGGGAGAAAAGTACACTCATACATTGTTGGTGAGAGCTCACATTTTAGTGCAACTGTTTTGGAAAGCAGTATGGAGATTCCTTAAAAACTAGGAATGGAACCACCATATGACCTAGCTATCCTGCTCCTTGGTATATATCCAAAAGATCTTAAATCAGCATAGTATAATGATGCAACCACATCGATGTTTATAACAGCACAATTCACAATAGTCAAGCTTTGAAAGCAATCTACATGCCTTTCAACAGATGAGTGGATAAAGAAAATATCACACACACACACACACACACAATGGAGTATTACTCAGCAATGTGGAAGAATGACATTATGGCATTTGCTGGTAAATAGATGGAACTGAAAACTATCATGCTCAGTGAAATAAACCAGACTCAAAAAGTCAAAGGTAGAATGTTTTCTGTGATATTCAGAAACTAGTCTAAAATAAGGGGAAAAAAGGTAAAGGAAAAAGGGGAGATTCCATCAAAATAAAAGATAAATAGAGTAGATGAAAAGGATTGAGGGAGAGGGGGGAGAGATGGGATAAGGGAAGAACAGTGGAACGAATCTGACCTGATTTTCCTATGTACATATAGGAACGTACCACAGTGAATCTCACCATAATGTATACCCATAAGATATTAATAAAAAACTATAAGCAAATAGCAGAAAGATCAGTAGAATAGAGGAAAGGGAACAGGGTAGGGAGAAGAGAGAAAAGGGAACTTTTTGGGACTGAATTAGAGCAAATTATATTCCATGCTTTTATAATTATGTCAAGATGAATCATAATGTCATATATATGGTGGCATACCCTGAAATCCAACTGATGCAGGAGGCTGAGGAAGAAGGATAACAAGTTCAAGGTCAGCCTCAGCAGCCTAGTAAGACCGTCAGCAACTTAGCTAAACCTCCTGTCTCAAAAGAACTGGGGATATAGTTCAGTGGCAAAGCACCCCTAAATTCAATTCCCAGTACTAATGTAAATATGTACATATATACAGTTCCTGGCACAGACTTCCCAGGCTTTCCTTCAAATTTCTGGTTCTGAGTTACGTGGTCAGTTCCCAGATAAATGCTTCCAGCTACACTATTTCCTCTTATTTGTCTTACCACTGTGTTACATACAAAGCATCCAGAATCCACTTTCTCCTCTCTTCTTTTCCCTCTGCCCATTCTGAGGAGTGACTGCTGTTTTGTACTCTCCTACATGAGTCTGGCATTCTCTGAAAGCATTGTCTATAAGGTTTCCCACTTCCATTTTCTCTAATTAGCTACTAATCCTGTTGATAATGTACCTCAAGTTTGTACTTCTCCTCTATTCCCACCTTAAACCAACCCTTCTCTGACTTACTAGTGCATAGAAGTTTCCTCTCCAGTTGCTTTTCTTCCTTTTGGTACCAGGGATTGAACCCAGGGGTGCTTAACTACTGAGCGATATCCCCAGCATGTTTTTGTATTTTATTTAGAGACGGGTCCTCACTGAGTTGCTTAGTGCCTTGCCATTGCTGAGGCTGGCTTTGAACTTGCGATCCTCCTGCCTCAGCCTCCTGAGCCACTGGGATTACAGGTGTGCACCTGTCTGGCTCTGATTGCTTTTTGAATCACTTCTTGCTACAATGTTTGGCTCTCTGTCTGGATTTTGAACAGTTCAAGTCCAAAGGACCACATTTCCCTTCCCTCTCCCTTTCTCTCTCTCTAAATCTCTGATTCTGGAGAAGCACAGTAGAGGTGCTCAGCACATGGTAAATTGTGGCATGTCCCTGCTTTAGGGCATTGCTGTGGCGCTTGGCATCGTGTCCTTGGGACATCTGAAGATAACTCTGGATGAGCTGAAGGAATATAGTACTATACTCATGGACCAAGACACATCATCCATCCTCAAATTGATGAAGGTGATGACATTCCCATGGACTCTACCAGCATCCCGCATCACCACAATTTCTCTACTTCTACCATGCCTTGTGATTCAACTATAAAGCCTGTATTTAACCTTAGGGCAGTTTTATCTTCTCTGTCCTTTTCCTTGCTCTCTTATGTCCATGTCTCAGGATCTGCTATCACCACTCATCCCCCCACTCCACCAAGTTGACCCTTCTATAGCTCTGTCTTCCCTTTGGGGCCCTCTGCACAATCTTTTCCTCTCTTGGCATCAGTTTCCACATGAAGCAAGAGGACAAGGTGAAGAGAAGGCAAGTTTCCCTTTTCCCCTACAGGAATATCAGCAAAGGGAGTGGGGGCTGGTCTGCAGCACCATCTACTTAAGCTACGGCAAGATTATCTTAGAGAGCAAGGGAGCCATCTTCCATCATTTGGATACTATCCTGGCCTCGGTCCTACAGCACTACCACAACTGCATTGTGGAAAAGGTACTTCTTGATTCCTGTCCTTCACCCACATCCTTTCCCTTCCTTTCTTTTCTCTTCCCCCGCAAGGAACCTTTGCTTGGCTTACAGTGTTACTCAGTGGGTGGGGCTCTTATTGCTGTTTTGTTTCCATTTCAATCGTTTCATATTCCTTTATCCTGACACTGAGAAACTACTGACTGGAGGAGAGTGTAGTCATTTTAGGACGGTTGCAAACTGTCTCCTTCCTCACTGACATGCTGTGTGGCATGCCTGTGGGCTTCTCCCTGCCCTTTCCTTTGAAGGGAAGAATAATGCCTAATTTGCCAACACAGTCATGGAAAGAAGCATTTAGTGGGGTTCCTGTCTTTGTTGTTTGTCTAGAGTGTGTGTCTCTAGGCTAGAGACAAGCACTTCCCATTCCCTGTCCATCTACCATCCAGCTGGACAGCCTGAATATTGAAGACAATATTCAGTGGAAAGACATTCCCTTGAGAGAGAAGAATACTATGCTATTGAAAAATTTAAGAGTTTTATGAAGAGGGAGCTGTTTCAGGGGGCTGGTGTGAGGGTGGCCCTTTCTTTCTATGGGGTTGTCACAGGCTTTGCCTCTTCTCAGCTGCACTCAAGAGAACATGCAGGGACTCAGTCTAGGGGAGGCTATGAATGCTTAGCTCCTTATGCCCAGATTGCAGATGGGTCTCTCAGGGCCCAGGACAATTCTTGTCGTTATTAGGGGTAGTCTGTTTGCATGCTGCTTTGTTTAGGATAACAATGTGAAGGTGGATTTCTTGAATGCTCTATCCCGTGTGACAGTCATCCTGAGCAACCTGTCCATCACCTTGCAACATGACATTCCCCAAAAAATAGAAATTATATCCTTCATGGTGGTAAGTAGCACTCAAGGAAAAAGGGGGTAGAGGCAGGAGAGGAAGGTGTATGGGTCCCCAGGAAACTACTGGAAGGCTCCTTCACTAGACCTGGAAGATAGTAGCCCAGTTTCTTTCTCCTACTTTCATCTTAACCTTTCTTGTCCTCCAGGTAGGGGTGAGTACTGTGGGAAGGCTGGGAAATAGGGAGAGGTGCTGTCCATCAGAATCTGGTTGTTGGAAATCCCTGAGGGTTCTAGGTCCAACCCTCTTGTGAGTATGGCCCAGGATGGAGGAGGAAGAGAATGGTAAGAAAAAGTACTCATGATCCTTTTGGTCTCTATGGGTGGGGGGTGGTTGTCACAGGAGCTAATCAGGGAGGAGCCAGTGAACTGTGTCTCCAGCTCCATTAGGAGGACGGCCATGAACATCATCACTGACTTCAGGTAACAGTATTCCATCTGTTCTTTATTTTTTGATTCCTTGACTCTTTCTTGACTTGATTTCATCTCTTTAGCCCTCCTTACCCCTCTCTCATTTTCTGTGTTGGCTTCCAGTATAGGGGTCCCCTGGCAGTAGTAGACATCTACCAGACAATGTCATTTTCTTTTGCTAGGATTTTTTGGGGAGGGATTTTCTGAGCACCTGGCAGAGAGTGCCTCTTCCTTTCTACAGGTACTTGCTGTCATTTCTGCCCCAGACTTCCTTTTGCTTTCTGGGCTGTCCCTAAATAAACACTTCTAGGTCTATTCCTGACCTTTCAGTTCCCTCAGAACATCTGGGGGACAAAAAAGTGTTGTTATCCCAAATCATCTGGTGCCCTTGCCTCTGTCAGGCATGCTTGCTGTCTATGCTTCACTTTCCACTTCCTGATCCTCTTTACCTTATCATTTCTTCCCTTTTCCTCTTCCAGTTACCTCTTCTTCTGGTATCTCTTGATTCCTTCTCCTGCCTGACCCTGTTTCTACCATCTCTCTCTGTATTATTATACCTTTCCTCCTTCAGCTGTCATTCCTGACATTCAGTGGTTGCATCTTTGCTTCATCCTGGATCTTAGGAATTTCAAGCCTCTCTTAGAACCAGAAAACACAGTAGAGGTGCTTCAAACATGCTTCAAGAGTGTGCTGTCCCTGCCATCCTCCAACGTCATACGGAAAGAAGCATCTAGTCCCAAGGAGGGCCAGGCCAATGTGGTAATTAACTTTTTGTTGGTTGTTATTTCTTTTTTATTTTCAAAAGAATGAGAGTATAGACTTTGGCATTTTATGAAAAATCTGCCTTTAATAAAACAAAATTACTGAAAAGAAGACCTCTTATGAAGAAGAGATTAGAGGTCAGGCAGTCTGAACTCTACCCATGAGAATTACTTCCTCTTTGGGGTCACTCATTACTCACCTTTTATTAAAAGGCCCAAAGGTGAATACTAGCTTGGTTCTTCCCTTTATAACTGTCATATTATTTAAACCAGGCTGGATGGTTCACATATAATTTACTAAAAACCCTTAGATAAATAAGTTCCTGGGAATCTCAGTAATAAGAGACCTGAGTTCATTTCCTATAGGGCTTTTGAGGGAGAAAGGGCTCAGTAGTTAAATTTGCATTTTTGTTCCACTCCTAGGAACTCTGTTGTAGTCTTTGATTATTCTTTCATCTTGACTGGCTAGTCTTATTTTATTGATGCCATGGTCTTTTGAATTTTGGAGTGATAGTAAGAATGTGTGGTTTTTTTTCAGTGCTAAGAATGGAACCGAGGGCCTCACACATGCTAGGCAAGCACTCTCCTACAAAGCTACATGCCCAGTCAATTTTTTTTTTTTTTGGTACCAGGGATTGAACCTAGGGGCACCTTACCACTGAGCCACATTTCAACCCTTTATAATATTTTATTTAGGGCTAGGGTCTTGCTGAGTTGCCTAGGGCCTTGCCATTGCTGAGGCAGGCTTTGAACTCTAAATCCACCTGCCTCAGCCTCCTGAGCCACTGGTATTACAGGTGTGCATCACTGCACCCGACTGATGAGAAGTTTTTTCAAAAGAAAGTTTTCCTGAATTATAGTGGTTTCCTTTAGGATCAGTTGGTCTGTTTGTTTATGTTAGCCTTTTTTTTTAAACTCCCTCTGCCTCTCTCCTATATGGCCCCCGAGACGAAATCCCATGAGTTCTTACTTGTTTTTTTTTCAAGGAAGAGAATATCTGAAGTATATATTTAGATAACTTCTAAAATTAAATAGTACATGAGAGTTAACATTAATAAGCCTTTAGACATCTGAAAATAATATCCTTTTCTCATGTTTGTTTTGGCAGGGTATAAAGATTCTGGTTTGTAAATTATTTTAGATAGAAATAATTTACCTTCATTTTTGAATTAATGTTTTAATTGTATAAATTTATGAGTCTTCTCATCAAATGTTCAAGGATCCTTCTTAGTTCATATTTCCTTTAGTTCTCAAGGAATAACTGGTATATATGAGATGTGCCATGGACTTCCCCAAGTGATGTTCCCATAAGGCTTTCCTCATGTACTTCTGGTTAGGGTGGGGAGGGCATTTTGACTAGGCTTACCTGCTCAAGACTGACTAGGAATCCCAGGTGCCCAGTAGGAATGGCTTTAATCTGGAGGTAGATTTCTTTTTAATACTTCATTACACAGAGAGCTGCCTTTCCTTCTCATTTCTCCTCTTGTTCATTTTGGAGGTATACAACTATCTTGTAAGAAGCCTTTGGAGGTTGATAACCTACTTTCTTCACAAAGTTTTGGCTTAGAGGCAGAATTAGTATTTCTGGTCAGAGCCACTGAGTCCACTACAGAGCAAGAAGGAGTAATCCACTGTCCCAGTTTTTGTGAATCAGTTACCCTGCAGACTGGTAGTCTGGCTCTCTTTCTCCTGGAGCCAGCTGGCCTCCTGGACCCTGCAGAATGAGGTAGCACCCACTGCCAGCAGAGGCCCAGAAGGAGCTTAGCATGGAGAACAGGGAATGGAAGAATTCCAAGGTAGGCTGAGATATCAGAGAACTTCCAGCCCACTAGGAGTAACTGCATACCAGGTTGATGTGTGCTCTTGTGCATATGGCAAAGGAATTATCCAAGTTGCAGGAAGTGGCACTTGGAAATGTGGGTAAACTTGTGGGGCAGAACTGAGCAAGTAAAGCTTCCTGAGGAAAAAGAGTGTCAACTGGAAGTTAGAGGAGCTGATAGCTCTGCAATGCTCTGAGTCCCTCTTCCCTCCTCAGGAACTATTCAGGGAGACCTTGCAATCTCTTCGAAGAGTAATGGAAGCACTGGTCACTGAGAAGGCCACTCAGATCCATGTCTGCTTGCAGGTCAGTGGGAAGGAACCCTTGAATGTTGATGTATTTGTTCCTAGGGGTACCTTATAATGTACCTTAACTGTCTGGCTTCAAAGGGCTAAAAACTCCAAATCAAGGTGCTGGCAAGGTTGGCTTCTACTGGAGGTGCCAGCAGTGAATCTGTTTCATGTCTCTCTCCTGGCTTCTGGTTTCCTGGCAATCGTAGGTATCCCTTGACTTTGAACACATATCTTTCTAATCTCTGCCTCTAACCTTCATTCGCAGAGCAGGTTCTCTCTCTCTCTCTCTCATTTTGTGTGTGTTGTGTATGTGTGTGTGTGTGTGTGTGTGTGTGTGTGTGTGTGTGTGTGAGTGTGTGTGTGTATGTATGCTTGTACATGTATGTTCTTTTAATAAGGACAGCAATCACTTCAACTTGATCACATTTGCAAATACCCTATGTCCAGATAAGGTCACGGTCTGAAGTCTAGGTAGACATGAATTTTGTCAAGCCATTTGAGTTGGGAACAGAACAGCCAGGGGTGGGCGCAGTATAAGAGGTAGAACCAAGGAGGAAGGTTGGGTGTAGAGTGTTGAGGGAAGGCAGGGATCAGGGCTAGGGTCCAAATGATGTTAGTCTGCCTGTGGAGGAGAAACTTCCTTCCTCCCTTTTACCCACTACCAGAACCATTTTCTCTACCAGCTGCTCTCTGCTCCTTCATATAAAGGTTAGAAGTACGGGCTCCAGCTTTCATATATGCAGTTCCAGATTCTGGTCCTGTTGTTAGATATGTGGCCCTGGAGAGTTATTTGTCTTGACCTCTGTTTTCTCTGAGATGAAAACTATACAAGTCATTTTGGTAACCCAATGAGACCATGTTTTGGCTCAAAGGAATGAAGTGTGAGTTCAAGTAATTTATCTATTTTTGAATTTGATTGTTTGTCTTTTTTATTGATATGACTTACTTGATGTTAATATCAATGTGATACTTTGGCCTTCTTTTGAATGTTCTATTCCCCATTCTCCTATGAAGCTTAGGTTCTTTTTTGTTGTCAGAATATAGAAACTAAGGGGGTATTGTCATAATATTTTGTTAAAAGTTATTTGAGGTAATTATTTCTCTGTGTTTATAGTGGCAAATTGACAGAATTTTGTTTATTTGTTTTAAACTTCAGGGTTTCTTTTTTATATAATTGAAGATTTTGATTATGTAAAGATTTATATAATAAATTATGTAAATTAAAGATTTATATAATTAAAAGATTTCACGACTTTCAAATGAAGACTTATTTGGAATAGTCTTCCCTGGGCTGACTTCCCTTGGCCCAGGTCTCCTCCACCCCAATCCGTTCCCCTTGTTTGTATTGAGGGGCATGGGGATGGGGTTTCTGAGATTTATGACTAGTAGTGGTCTTTCTAGAAGTTCTTTCTGGTTGGATTTTTAAGAGGGCCACTGCAGGGGGGATTCCTTCTAGTTTAATTTAGAGCTGTCTGGGTGTGGAAAGATGCCATTGTGACTGAAGAGAGCGACTTGTTTGCTGTTGGGCTCCATAATATGGCTGCCCCCTGAAGGCTTTCTTTTCCAATTTGGTTTTAAGTTGTTTGTGCTGTTTTAAGCAGTCTTATGCACTTCAAATTTTGTCTGTCTTTACAACAGTTTTTAAGTGGGTGAGCTTAAGAGAATATCTACTCTCCGCCCTGTCTTTCTCTCTTTATTGCCCCTCTCCCCTTATCCAAAGGACAGGGTTAGGGCACCCTGAGTTCTGTTTCCTATTCTGGTAACCTATCTTGCAGTCTTTCCAGGTCTCAGTCTATGAAGTATCAAATTTTAGAGCATTTATTTTGTCACCCAGTTCTCAATTTTGCTTTTAGTTGCTGCCTCCTTTCTGTGTTTTGAGGAGATTTGGAGTTGCTACCTACCTCACTTCTGCCATCTTCCTGAATCTACAGTGGGGAGATTTCCAGCATCTAGATTGGGAAAATATTGGGGGCTGAGAAAATGAAGGTTTCTGTTGCCAGACACATATAGAAGTCTGGCTCTCAGAAGTATGGCTGTGATGCTTTGTGGACACCAGACTCCAAGTTGCCTTTCTGGGTTCTGGAATGTAGCTAATCAGACCTCTCCTTCCATTCTTTTCTCCCTGTAGGTACTGAACACGTGGCTTAACTCCCTGAAGGACAGTGAGCGGGAACGGGCCATGTGGTGTGCTGCCCGTATTCTTGGCTTCACTGCGAAAATGAATAACTTTGAAGTGAGTGGATACCTGCCCTGGAGCCTGGGCCTTGGTGCTCCCTCTGATTACCTCTATGCTAAATTTCATCTTATCATCTGGCCTCAGTCACCAGCCTTACCTTCTGTCTCCTGACTCCTTATTGTACTCTCTGTAGAGCACCGTCTTGTTTTCTCCTTTCTCCCTGTTTCCTTTCCTCACCAATATCTGTTGTTTTTTCTTCCTCCACCAATTCATTTCCATTCTACCCGGTTCACTCTGCATCTTTCAACAAGCAATCACTGAATGCTTACCTGGATGTCAGGCACCATGCCTAGGTGTTCCAGTGGATGTCTAGGGCAGTTCTCTGTCCTCTTGAATATTACAGTCCACTGAAAGAGAGAGGTGTGCATAGAACAGACTGAAATAGAAGGTGATGATGGGTACATAAATCAAATGTGGTGGGGGAAAAATACCCAAACACAAATGATTGAGAGGAATTAGGGTAGGTTTTATAGAAGAGGAAGCGTTTTAGCCAGGCATGAAAAATGAGTGGGATGTCAAGAGGCAAACAATCGGGAAGAATCTAAGATTATTCCAAAACTGTGACCTTGTATAGCGTTATAGTCCCAATTCACCTGTCAATTTCATTCATGTCATATGTATGTGTGTGTACATAATCCAAACACACATATATGTATTTGAATATGGATGTGTGTGTGTGTGTGTGTGTATATGTATATATATACACACACACATATATACACACATATATGTCTGTCTGATATTTTTCATATATATGCTGGAAATGGAACCCAGGACCTTGTCATGCTAAACAAACACTCTACCACTGAGTTATACCTTCAATTCATGTCCATTTCACCTAGTCTCTGGCATATGGATCTCTTCCTCCTAGTCATTTTCCTGGGATAACCCAGACTAAAGGAATGGCTGGGTTAACTGTGACTTTCAACTCTCCTACCTAGGTAGAAATTCAGTTTACCTGGCTGGGGTGCCTGGTAAGGCTGCTGGCCATACGTTGTCAGGACCCAGTGGACAACATCTGCTTCTTGTCTGCCCAGGCTGTCTACAACCTCTACTGTATCCTCCAGCAGCAAAAGCGTATGGGGAGCCTTCTCTCCCCACTCCCGCTCCAGCCTCCCACTTAGGCCTAGCCATCCCCACTTGCTCTGTTCCTGAAGAGAGAAAGCCAAGAATTCACCTGAGTTCCTAACTGAAAAACCTGCTCCAATATTTGCAGATATTTTGCCCCTCTTTGGATAAACTAACTGCTTGGGAAACAGTTCTTTTCCACCAGTTTCTACCCAATTCTGTGTCTGTCTGACACAGGCAAAGTAGGGATTTATTTGACCTTAGTTCTTAGCATTCCTTGTTTTAATGTCCATTCCTCTTTCCCAGCCCCATGGGACATGCATCTCTCAAAGATGGCTGTTTAATTCAGTGTTTGGGGTTAGACTGGGATCCCTGAAAGGTGGGAAAGGGGAGCTTAAGAAATCTTCTTGGTATCTGAGAGGTGGAATTGGGTTTCTTTGTTTCAGAGGTGACAAGGAAAAAACAAGGCTTATGGGAAGAAGAGCACAAAAATGAGGTCTATAGTGCCAATGTATTCTATAACAACACCTATAGAATTGCCAAGGTAAGCAGGGGAGCAGAGACGAATCAGAAGAGCTGTGGCTCTCACTTACATTGTACTATAAACCCCTTGGGTAGGACTCTCATCCCACTTACCTTCTTTCTCAATTGCTGGATGTAAATGTTTTATTTGGGGGAAATTGCCCATGCAGTGTAAGGCACAGTTCTGGGAGCAACAACATGCTTTCCTTGGAGCATCATGGATACTAATTCTTCTTGATTGCTCATATCCCAGAAGCATTTATTTTGATACTTTGTGAACAACATGTAGGCCCAATGCAAACATGGAACAGATGTCACTAATGATGTGACCTCCAGCCTCTCTCTGCCACTGCTGAGCCTCTGCAGCCTCTACCTCTGAGTCCCACATTGCCTGGAGTTCACTGTTTTCTCCTTCAGATCCCCAAAGACTCTGTTTCCAGTTTAAGTGTCCTCCAGGAGCTGGGCAAGTAATACAGGCCAAGGATAAAAGTGCATCTTGCTCCCAAGCGGGGTTCTCCCTTGTTCCATGACCAGGAAGGACATCCCAAGACCTATCAGGCAGGAGGCCTGCCCAGACTGATGTCCTTGTTTCAGGCATTTGCAGAGTACTTCACCCAGATCCAGCTCACCAACCTTGTGCTGACAGCCGTGAATGACCTAACTGACAGTGAGTCCAAGGTGTCTCTGGCTGCAGCCCAGCTAATGAGTGCAGTTATGAAAGAACGGGGAAGAGACATGCTAAAGGTAGCGTGGAGCTGTGGCAGGCTCCTGAAAACAGGAACCCTGGCTTCTTTCCTTTCTCTGTTATTAACTAGCTAAAGGGCCTCACGCAAATCCCCCCTCCCCCCTCCCCCCCTTTTTTTTGGCTTAGTTCACTCACCTACAACTTGTATCCTTGGACTGGATTTTTCCCTCTGGTTCCTGTGAGCTCTGCTTCCTCTCTTGGACAGGTGGCTTCTGGCTCCACAGTTAACAACAGAGATGTATACAGGTGTAGGCATATGGAGGACTCAACAGTAGAAAGAAATACAGTTGGGAGCATTTACCTTGGTTCCCTGTAGTAATGGACTGCAAAATAGCAAGTTTGTGGAATGATTCTGACATTTGAATTTTTTTTAGGCTATCATGTACAAATGGGAAGGTTTTGCATATAAATCTGTTTCCTTCTTTATTGAAAAGGACTTTAAAATGAGGTCACCTGGGTCACTGTTCCTTCTATATAGACTTTATAGGGATGCATGGACTATACTAAAAGGGTTTTCCAGAGGCCATGTATTAGGGACCTGAGGAACAGGGTAGAGCCTGTGGTCCCACTACTGCCAATGCCAACCATTGCTGCAATTTTGGGGGTCAAAACCTGGGATAGGAATACTGAAGTGTCCCTAGGGCTTTTGCCTTTCCCCTAGAGGGTCTAAGTCCCTCATGAGTAAACAAGGAACCTCCTCTGTAGGCTCCTCTGTAGGCTTTGGGGTTGTGGGCAGGCATCTGGATTGGTACTTCTGAACTTCATTCTGTGGCGCCTGCTGGTATGGCCCCTGGCAGGGCACTGGCAAGATTACAACAAAGGACCCCTTGAATTTGGGGAAACTTAAATTGGTAGGGGACAAAAGCTGAAAGGAAGGAGTTAGGGAGACTTTCGGTTCTCCCTGCAGATCGAGGAGATTGTGGAGTGCATTCTTGAACGGCTCAACTCTCAGCTGGAGCCCAGCACAAAGGAGGAAACCCTACAGGCCATGAGCTCACTAGCAGGCAGCAACACCCACACCGTGGTGCCCATGCTGCTCAACAAACCCCTGCCTTGGGATAGGTACCTCTTCATCATCCAGGCGCACAGTCTTCTGCTCAGTAGATCTTCTCCCCATCCACCTCAAACACCACAAAAATCACCCCTCTAGGGTGCTTTCTGTCTCTCTCCTTTCTGTTTTGTCCCAGTCATGTTCTTTGGCCTGTCTACTTGGGTCTCACTCCCTCCAGTCCCTGAGAACTGGTGGTTTTTCATGGGCCTGGTAATAAACTAGTCCTAGGAGCATGATCACCAGGGCCTGTGACATAGCTTTCCCTGGGTCCTACAGAACCCAACTGGCCCTGTGGAAGGCATTTGGCACCCAGCGAGAAACGACAATAAATGTTCTGCAGCTGCTTATGGGCATCTTGGAGAAGACCTACACCAGAGAAGAACGGAAGGAGATGTCCTTCCAGCCTGTGGCGGTCAGTACAAAGGAAGGGAGGGGGTCCTGGACTTAGTGTTCTAGGAACCTGTGGGCAGAGCTGAAGACCCAAGGGCTTGGCCTGAGTGGCCAAGCAGGCTTTGGGGAAGAGCAAAGAGAAGAGTGTTAACATTGGAATCATTGATGCACTTCGGCCTCCTTTTTGTATATTTATACCAAGGACTGGAGAAAGGCAGGACAAGGAAATTGACATGCAAGGTTAAACAGCTTTTTTTGTACCCTGATTCTGTGCTGGGATCATTTTGCTGAAGGCCTAATGTGGGCACGGGGGAATGGAAGATAGGCATTTGATCATAAATTGGGACAGACAAAGTTTACCCTAATTTATCTTCTGCTGAATGGATTACCTCTCATTTTCCCTTACTGTGTTTCTTCTTCCCTATGTCTCTCTCTCCCTCCCTCCCTTCCTCTTTTGGTTCTTTTATGAAGATATGGGGTTTTGCTATGTTGCCCTGTCTTACCCTAAAATCCTGGGCTCAAGCCATATTCCTGCCTCAGCTTCCCAGTTAGCTGGGACTATAGGTGTACCTTATCACCTTTCATTTTGTAATGTCAGATGAACAGAAAAGAAAGTAGATTGCATATGTATTGTCCCCTCATTTCTCTAGGGAGGAGTATTGGTTTCCAGACTGAATCAGAGTGCTGTATGGCTGTGGGGTAGGGCGGGGTTGCAGCCTGGGATTTCCAAGTGAGAGTCTGAGTGGTTGTGGCCCAGGGTTGGCCATTTGCCTTTCCCTTCCCAGGTAGCATGTGCCTTGTGTGAGATGCTCTCAGAGACCATATGCCAGGAGGCGGTTCAGGAGCTATACCCACGACTCTTGCTGTCTGTGCTGTTCCACCTCTACTGGGTGATTGAGCAACGTTCCCCACAGAAGATGGTGGTTTACACCAAGGAGGGGTCCCCAGGTGGCAAGAGCAAGCCTTTTGACCCCACTGGGTAAGCCCAATCTCCAAGTGATGGAGCACTGAAACTAACCAGTTTTTGAGAGCCTTGCTAATCCCTTTGAGAGGACAAGAGCAGTAGAGGGGGGAGATAGACCATGGTGTGGGTGCTGGAGCATGCACTCTTGTACTGACTCACACAACAGTTCATGCCCATGAACCAGTCACTGCACATGAAGAGATTCAGTTTAGATGGCAAGTGATGGGATAAGACTGTCATTTTCTTCAGGTGAGTTGGGACATTTCAATCAGTCTTGGCTTTGTGCGCCAGCTGTGTCATCTTGTACAAGTCATCACTAAAACTCAGTTTACTCATCTGTGAAATGGGGTTTGGATACCCAAATATGTTATTTTATCACATGGAAGTGAAAACAAATTACTGCCAATAAAGCAGTAAAATAAAGAGACATTCTGAATAGGTGGATGTGGAGGTAAAGAGAGATCCTAACCCTGCTTCTGTTAGAGAACAGAACTTGAGAACTCTCTGTACTATCTATTATAGTCTCTTTCACAAAACTCTGTGGAGGATCACACTTGGAGGGGAGAGTGGATGAGCAATTGGAGTTGGGTTCCGTGGAGCTGTGAATTTTGTTGGCAGGAAAGCCAAACATAGCAACCAGAGCCAAGAACTATAACCTAGCTTGCCAACAGAGGGTTTGCAAACCAGGACACAACACCTTATATATCCCTCTGGTTCCTTCTTTTTCATAAACTCACTTGCGGTGGCCTTCAGTTGTGCCTTGGAGGTAGTCAAATTGGTGTTCAAGGCGGCTGCGTATGATGAAGTGGTAGTCTATGCCAGTGAACATCAATGCTGGGAACTCCTGTCCAGCCCCAAATCTTACTACATAGGTATCATGGACTTGACAAGGTGGGACCATTTCCCCAGCACCCCTGAAAACTCCACACTCTGACTCCAGTCTCCCAGATCCCAGTAACCTTTGACTCTACCTTCCCCTTCTCCAAGCCCTCTGGTCTTCTGATCTCACAGCCCTCATATCTTCCCTGTCCTGTGCATTCTGGTCCTGGTTACTCCTCTCCACTTCCAGCAACTTCTGGTTTCATATGTCCCTTCCCAGTGGCATTGTGAAGAATTGTGAACCCTTTATCCTGCACCGAATTGTGAGCCATGTCAGGAACCTACTCTATAGCTTGGATGATCATCAGAAGGTCATGGCCAGGACCTTCTATGTGCAGGTGAGGGGAGAAGTCACCAGCTACAGCCATTAATTTGCTGCAGTTGAGGATTATGTTACAGAGTGTTAAGTAATTTGCCCCAGAAAGGACAAAAGAATAGAATCAAGCCATTAAAAATGGGTTCCCTTCCCTGCTACTTCAGTGGCCTGGTTAAAAGAGGCATGAAAAACTGGAGAGGAGGTTATCAGATCTAGAATAATCATGAATCTGAGCATCAGATTAAAAATTCCAGCCTCATCTCTATCATAAGGCTAAATTCTTACCCTTAATCTCTTTACCTCTATGTACAAATCTGTACTGCTCTCAACTGGACATACTCCTGACATGAGTATGGCACCTGAGGATGTACTAGGTGAGTTCTGAGTACTCATAAACTTTTTTCCATCCATAATTTCCTTGTCCCCACAGCTCCTCTGGCACTCATCAGTAGCAAAGATAATAGGGCAAGACTTTGTGGGTGATCTAATCAGATGGATCAAGGAGCCCAACCTCATCATGAAGGAAATCGGTCTTCGAGGAATCAGTAACCTGGCACTACACCCAGGAAATGTGAGCCAGTAGGACCCAAAGGATCCAATGCTAGTCCTTGAGCCTTTGATTCACCTTCCTTGGGTCTCTCAGCAGTACAGGAATTTATGAATTTCTCATTCCCTCACCCCAGGGCATCACAACATTTAGTTTTTAGACCTCCATCCACTTGTCCTAAAATCACTCCAATACCATCAAGCCTTCCCTTTCCATTCCTTGAAAATCACCTTTGTTTTCCCAGGTGGTTTGCCTTATGCACCATCTGCTTTCTCAAAACCTGGTTCCCAGAATGTTGTTTAATACCCAGAGTGATCTCTGCCTTCTTCCAAATAGTCAGAGATACTTCAGAGCCTGGTTCCACTTTTGCGAGACTTACTGAATAACGAGGTGCGAGTAGCAGTGCAAGCAGTGAAGACCCTGCGGAATATCATCTACCACGGGCAAGGGGAGGACACCAAGGTGGTCTTTTGTAACATCTCCAGGCAACTGCGTCCACTCATCAATGATGTATGGGTCTAAGTTCCTGGATCAGTTGGGAACAGTGTGGGCTGGGACTGAATATGAACCTCAGAAGCTGAACTAAGGATATTGGATTGGAGTTTAGGGATGATGGTGGAACACTGAGCTAACTGAGGGGCAGAGAAAAGGAGATTTGGCAGGACGTACTCCAAATATATCCCTATCACACACAACTGTCCATTTACTCTCACTATATGTTCCCCAAAGGAGCCACTGAACCAACAAAACAAATGTAGCATAATGATAGTTGGTTCTGAGTCCCAGTGTCTCCTGCAGATTCCATTCATGACATGAAGGGTGGAGAGAAGATGATGACCATGCTTTCCTCCCAAATAATACAAGGTCCTTAGAATGCTTGGGTTCTTGTGGCAAAAGAAATTTGAGACCCAGAAATGATTTTGTAATTAGAATGCTTTCAGTTTTCATGTGACAATGTCTTCAATTTGCCTAGTTTTCTTCAGAATTCAGTGGGTTATAATATGTCTAGGCATACATTTGATTCTTTTTAGCCTGTTTAGGGTTCACCAATCTATATCTTCCACTAAACTTGGAAAATTTTTAGTTTTTTTTGTGTTTGTATTGCATTTAAATTACATGCAATATATTCATTTTCACATATTAATTCAAGCACATCACATAATTTGGTCCATTTCATTCCCCAATGCTACTACTTTCTCTTCCCTTCTTCCCTATTCCTCGTCCCCTTCCTCTGCTCTACTGGTTATCCTATTTTTATGAGATTTTTTTCCTCCTTTTTCTTTTTTTCTATCTAGATTCCACATAAGAGAGGAAACTTATGATCCTTAACTTTCTGAGGCTGACTTATTTTGCTTATCATTATGTTCTCAAGTTGTATCCATTTTCTTGCAAATGACATATATTCATTCTTCTTTGTGGCGAAACAATACTCCATTATGTATTTATACCACATTTTCTTTATCCATTAATTTGTTTATGGATACCTAAGGTTGGTTCCTTATATAACTTGCTATTTTGAATTGTGCTATAAATATGGATATGCTGAAACTATTTCTTTGGACAGATAATATAGAGTGGTATAACTGGATCATCTGGTGGTTGCATTCCGATCCTTTGAGGAAACTCTGTACTGATCTCCATAGTGGTTATAGTATTGCTATTTGTATTTACGATACCAGCAACAGGGTATAAGTTTTCCTTTTCCCCAACATTTTTACCAACATTTATTATTATTTGTAGTTTTGATATTGCCATTGAAGTAGAGTGTGATGAAATCTCAGTTTAGTATTGTTTTGCACTTCCCTGATAAGATGTTGAACATTTCCCCTATATTTGTTAGCGAATTTGTTTTTCTTTTGAGAAATGTTTGGTTGATTTTCCTGTTTATTTATTGGGTTATTTTTGTTTTGGTGGTAAGTTTTTTGAGTTCTTTATTCTGGATATTAATCCTCTGTCAGAAGAGTAACTGGCAAAGATTTCCTCCCACTCTGTAGACTCTATTCACACTCTTAATTATTTTGTTTGCTTTGCAGAAGCTTTTAATTTGGGACCATCCCATATATTAATTCTTGACATTGTTCCCTGAGCGTTAGGAGTTCTACTGATGAAGTCATTGGTTCTGCCTTTATGTTAGAATGTTGATCCTATATTTTTCAGCAGTTGCAGGGTCTTTGATCCATTTCAATATGACTTTCAAGCAGGGTGTCAGATGAAGAACTAGTTTCATTCTTCTATCTATTGATGCCCAATTTCCTCAAAACATTTGTTAAAAAGTCTGTCTTTTCTCTAACATGGGTTCCTGGCATCTTTGACAAGGATCAAATGACTCTATCTGGGTGTGTTTGTTTTCTGTATTTTCTAGTCTATTCCATTGGTCTATGTGTCTGTTTTCATGTAAGTTCCATGCTGTTTTTAATCAATATAATTCTGTATGCTTTGAAATAGAATATTTCAAATAGAATACCTCCAGTATTGCTATTTGTATTCAGTATTGTTTTGGTTTTGAGCGTCTTTTATTCCTCCATATGAATTTTTGGGTGTTTTTTTTTTAACTTCAGAAACAAAGGATTTTGTTTATTTTTTTCTTAAAAGTTCTTCAAGATTTACTTTTGGCAAATAAATCTCAAACATACAGAAAATGTCAGGCAGAATAAAAATAAAATATTCTATTTACATATCATGCTCTTTTCTAAGGTGATAATCATTAACCCGAATCCTCATATTTTTCTGGTTGTGTGCTCTTTGCTGCCATCCTAATATTTTTAAACTCTAATTTCTTTTTGTTAAAAACAATAACAATATCAAATACTTAGAAACATTCTTTTTTTTCTTTTTTTATTGTTGGTTGTTCAAAACATTACATAGTTCTTGATATATCATATTTCACACTTTGATTCAAGTGGGTTATGAACTCCCATTTTTACCCCGTAAATGGGGTTTTTCTTTTTCTATGAAGAATGTAACTAATATCTTGATGGGGATTTCATTGAATTTGTAGACTGCTTTTGATAATATGGCCATTTTTTATAAAGAAATACAAATATTATTTATTTCTCTTTGATAACCCAGTAAAACTTTTAAAATTTATTTATTCTAATTTGTTATATATGACAGCAGGATGCATTGCAATTCAAAGTACACATATAGAACACAATTTTTCCTGTCTCTGGTTGTACACGAAGTAGAGTTACATGATTTGTGTCTTCATACATGTATTAGGGTAATGATGTCCATCTCATTCCACCATCTTTCCTACCCCCCTGCCCTCACCCTTCCCCTCCCTCCCCTTTGCCCTATCTAAAGTTCCTCCATTCCTCACATGCTCCCCCTGCCATCCCCCTTATGGATCAATATCCTCATATCAGAGAAAACATTCAGGATTTCATTTTTAGGGATTGGCTTACTTCACTTAACATAATAGTCTCCAACTCCATTCATTTACCTGAAAATGCCATCATTTTATTCTCTTTTAATGCTGAGTTATATTCCATTGTGTATGTATACCACAGTTTCTTTATCCATTTATCTGCTACTTCAGTGGCCTGGTTAAAAGAGGTTGGTTCCACAATTTTTAGCTATTGTGAATTGTGCTGCTATAAACATTGATGTGGCTGTGCCACTAGTCATTATAGTATGCTGTTTTTAAGTCCTTTGGGTATAAACCAAGGAGTGGGATAGCTGGATCCAAATGGTGGTTCCATTCCCAGTTTTCCAAGGAATCTCCATATTGCTTTTTATATTGGTTGCACCAATTTGCAGTTCCACCAGCAATGTATGAGTGTGCCTTTCTCCCACACCGGCATTTGTTGTTGTATTCTTAATAGCTGCCATTCTGACTGAAGTGAGATGAAATCTTACAGTACTTTTGATTTGCATTTCTTTAATTGCTAGAGATGTTGAACATTTTTTCATATATTTGTTGATTATATATCCTCTTAGAAGGGTCTGTTCAGTTCCTTGGCCCATTTATTGATTGGGTTTTTTTTGGTGTTTTATTATTTATAAGTGACAGTGGAATGCATTACAATTCTTATCACACATATAGAGCACAATTTTCACATCTCTGGTTGTATACACAGAATATTCATACCAATTCATGTCTTCATTCCTGTACTTTGGATAATAATGATCATCACATTCCACCATCATTAATAAACCCAGGCCCCCCTCCCTTCCCCTCCAACCCCTCTGCCTTATCTGGAGTTTGTCTGTTCCTTCCCTGCTCTTGCTCCCTATCCCACTATGAATCAGCCTCCTTATATCAAAGAAAACATTCGGCATTTGTTTTTTTGAGATTGGCTAACTTCACTTAGCATTATCTTCTCCAACTCCATTCATTTACCTGCAAATACCATGATTTAATTCTCTTTTATTGGTGAGAAATATTCCATTGTGTATATATGCCATATTTTTAAATCCATTCATCTATTAAAGGGCATCTAGGTTGTCTCCACAGTTTAGCTATTGTGAATTGTGCTGCTATAAACATTAATGTGGCTGTGTCTCTGTAGTATGCTGTTTTTAGGTCATTTGTGTATAGACTGAGGAGAGGGATAGGTGGGTCAAATGGTGGTACCATTTCCAATTTTCCAAGAAATCTCCATAATGCTTTCCATATGGGCTGCACCAATTTGCCTTCCCAMCAGCAGTATATGAGTGTATCTTTCTCCCCACATCCTTGCTAACAATTATTATTGTTTTTATGCATAATAGCATGTTAATGATGTTAAGACACGTTCCTATTATCCCTAGTTTTTCTAGTGTTTTGAACATAAAGGGGGTGCTGTATTTTGTCAAATTCTTTTTCTGCATCTATCAAGATGATCATATGATTTTATCTTTAAGTATATTGATGTGATATATTACATTTATTGATTTCCATATGTTGAAACAACCTTACATCCCCCGGATGAATCCCACTTGATCATGGTGCACAATCTTTTTGATATGTTTTTGTATTCAATTTGCCAGATTTTTATTGAGAATTTTTGCATCTATGTTTATTAGAGATATTGGTCTGAAGTTTTCTTTTTTTGATGTGTCTGTGCCTGGTTTTGGAATCAGAGTGACATTGACCTCATAGAATGAGTTTGGAAGTGCTGCCTCTTTTTCTATTTCCTGAAATAAATTGGAGAGTATTGGTATTAGTTCTTCTTTAAAGGTCTTGTAGAACTCAACTCTGTATCTGTCCGGTCCTGGGCTTTTCTTGATTAGAAGACTTTTGATATGGTGTCTGCTATTTCATCACTTGAAATTGATCTGTTTAAATTGTGTGTATCATCCTGATTCAATTTGGGAAAATTATATGACTTTAAAAAATTGTCAATGCCTTTGATATTTTCTATATTATTGGAGTACAAGTTTTCAAAATAATTTCTGATTATCCGCTGTATTTCTGTAGTGTCTGTTGTGATATTTTCTTTTTCATTATGTATTTTAATGATTTGAGTTTTCTCTCTTCTTAATCAGCATGGCTAAGGGTCTTTCAATTTTACTTATTTTTTCAAAAAACTAACTTTTTGTTCGTCAATTTTTAAAAATTGTTTTATTTCAATTTCATTGATTTCAGCTCTGATTTTAATTATTTCCTGTCTTCTGCTGCTTTTGGTTGATTTGTTCTTTTTCTAGGGCTTTGAGATGTAGTGTAAAGTCATTTATTTGTTGACTTTTTCTTCTTTTAAGGAATGAACTCCAATGCAATGAACTTTCCTCTTAGAACTGCTTTCATAGTGTCCCAGAGATTTTGATATGTTGTATCTGTGTTCTCATTCACCTCTAAAAAGTTTTTAATCTCCTCCTTGATGTCTTCTTTAACCCATTGTTCATTCAGTAGCATATTATGTAGTCTCCAGGTGTTGGAGTGGATTTTATTTCTTATTTTATCATTGATTTCTAATTTCATTCCATTATGATCTGATAGAATACAGAGTAGTGTCTCTATTTTTTATATTTGCTAAGAGTTGCTTTGTGGCATAGTATATGGTCTATTTTAGAGAAGGATCCATGTGCTGCTGAGAAGAAAGTATATTCTCTCATTGAAGGATGAAATATTCTATATATATCAGTTAAGTCTAAGTTATTGATTGTATTATTGAATTCTATAGTTTCTTTGTTTAGCTTTTGTTTGGAAGATCTATCCAGTGGTGAAAGAGGTGTGTTAAAGTCATCCAAAATCATTGTGTTGTGGTCTATTTGACTCTCGAACTTGAGAAGAGTTTGTTTGATGAAGATAACTGCTCCATTGTTTGGGGCATATATATTTATAATTGTTAAGTCTTGTTGGTATATGGTTCCCTTGAGTGTGTAGTGTCCTTCTTTATTCTTTTTGATTGACTTTAGTTTGAAGTGTACTTCATTTGATATGATGATGAAAACCCCTGCTTTCTTCCGCAGTCCATGTGAGTGGTATGATTTTTCCCAACCCTTCACCTTCAGTCTCTGATTAGTCTCTTGTAGGCAGCATATTGTTGAGTCTTTTTTTTTTTTGATCCAATCTGCTGGTCTATGTCTTTAGATTGTGAGTTTGTGCCATTATCATTCAGGGTTATTATTGAGACATGATTTGTATTCCCAGCCACTTTTGTTTATTTTTGGTATTTATCATGACATGGTTTCTCCTCTGATTAGATTTTCCTTTAGTGTAATCCCTCCCTCTGCTGATTTCCATTTCCTCTTCTTGGAATATTTTGTTGAGGATGTTCTTTAGTGTACCTATTAATCTATCATTATTATGGCTATTGATGGGGGAACATCCAGTGGTTCATGGATAGTTGGACAGGCAATCAGTAGCAGTCTTCCTGATCTTCCTGGATGTTATTGGATAGCTGGGAACTGTTCAATCTCTCTATTGGTTTCCTAGAGTTTCCTGAATTTCCTGTATTCACAGCACCCCAGCTCAGAGTATTTCCAGACCTACTGCCCTCTTCTGTAGCAGCTCTGACCTATGATGTCTACTTGAATTCTAGTTCTTTCAGCTGCTTGTTTTTCCAAGAAATCATGCATCCTCCTGGGGAGGGATCCTGTTTAGTAGTCCACATCCATTATAAACTTAAAAATAGATATCTACTATTTCTTGTAGGGATTTGGTGTAGGAAAAGATGACTTCACTCATCTTGAGCTACTCTACATGTGACGTTTTTTCTGTTTTATTTTATTTTTTTGCCATTATGCTAAAATGTATACATTCAAATGTTGAAATGTTTCTTTTGTTTAGTTTTGTTGGTTCAGGTACTATCTTGTCTTATTTCACTATGTCTCTATTATTTGACATTGGGCCTAGTTCATGATAGGTACTCAGTAAAGATTTGTTCAATTAATATAATCCTGAAAATGTACAAAACTCAGATTCTTGTGGTCATTGTAAATGGACACAAGCTAATGTATGTTTGAGCACTTTTATTTATAGTGTAAGTAGGATAACTCTATGTTTAAAAATTTGGCCTTCTTGAGTTATACCCTTAGAAGGGGACAAAGTTAGAAGCCTTAGATATATAGTCCATGGCAGAACTGAGAGGAAGACCTTGCTTCCCTGATTTACTAGCTGTAGGGATCTAAAGACAATTATTCAAACACTCAACTCATGTCACCTTGACATAATGTAACACAAGGCAGTGGGTATGCTGTGGACATGGACAGTGAGATATGGGAGGAATGAAGCCAGGCCAGACAGGGACAGGAAACTACTGCCATCTCTTCCTCTATTTTGTGCATCATGGCAGGAGAGGGACCAAGTGAGGATCTCAGCCATCTCTGCCCTAAGCTACATGTTACGCCGAATTTTCAAATTGAAGCCTGGGTCCTTCGTTCGCAAAGAGGTCTTCACTTTTCTAGTCCCATTGCTGCTCAGCATTCAGGACAACAATATTGAGGTGGTTAAGGTACCGGTCACCTCTGTTCTGCCAACCCCAAGCCTGACTCATTCCCCTTTTCTGCTATAGCATACCACCTTTGCTCTTCCCTTTGTCTCCTTTGTCATGAGTCCAACTTTGGCTGTCCAGTCCATCCCCACCTCTTGAACCTCACCCTCTGGGCTGGATCTGGGCACTTGGATCCGCTCCACAGTCTTCCACTCAGCCCTTGGACCTGGGGAATCATTATAGTGGGGTTTTGGGGATTCCCTTCTCTCTATCACATAGGCCTGTGGCGGGACCCTGACTGAGTGGACTCACGTGCTTGGCTGGTCATCACTCACAGAGACGTTCCGGCATACCACACTCAGTGATCACATCCAGGTAGTAGGAGAAACTTGCAAATTCCTGGTAAGTGAGAGTCCTTGAGAAAGCTCAGTTAAAATGTTCGTATTGGGGGATGGGGTTGTAGCTCAGTGGTAGAGCACTTGCTGGCATGTGTGAGGCACTGGGTTCGATTCTCAGCACTGCAAATAAATAAAGGTTTATCAACAACTAAACAAAATTTTTTTAAAAATGTTCATATTGGCCATGTGTTAGGAGGACAAAACAGGGAAGGCTGACAGAAGGCAGCTTTCTTCTGTTCCTTAGTCCTGTTCTTTATCACCAATCAATTCTGAGACTCCACATTTAGGATGCTAATGTCCTGGTGTCTGTCATTGATCTTCCCAGAATCACAGTCTTTTCCTTAGAGGCTGAAAGATCCTGCCAGATTGCTGGATTGTAATAGGATAGAGATATTCTGGTTAAAGTGGGTGAAAGAGATGTGGGCAGGATTTTAGGTGGGTAGTCAAGATGTTTAGGGTCTGTGGCTCTTAAGAAATCAAGGACAAGCCAGAGATTAGGAATCAGAGTCTATGCAGATTTTGCAGAATTTTGATGTTTATTGCTAAAATGCTCTCTGAAAATAAATAATTAAGGACTTAGCAATTTGGGTAGTAATGAACAACTGTGTCTTTAGCTCCACATTAGTTCTTTGTCCTTATTCTCTTCTCTTTCATGGAGCAGGTTTCTCTATGAACTTTCCCTTGAGTCTGCTGGGCTGGGAGGGGTTGGGATGATGGAGTCTGCAGGTTCCGTGGACAAGGGTGAGCAGGTGCTGCTATCAAGAGATCTGCAGTAATCCCAGACCTGCCCTCTCTTGCTCAGTACCACCCATCTGTGGCTCCACAGGTGGGCCAGCGCAAATATCATCAACTTGGGGACTTACTATTCCAGAGCTTTGGCTTCCTGAAGCGACCACAGCCCTTCCTAAGGGCAGCTGCAGTCAATTTCATAGGTAAGGCAGTGGCACCTGGCAACTCCTCTCTCCCCTCTTTGGCAGGGGAGCATCTTCTGCCAAAGGGCTAGGTCAGAACCATGGTGTGACAAGCAGATGACCTCCTTTCCTAGCCTTGACCTGATTGGATAGGTTGACATGTGATCCAGCCCCAAATTCTGCTTTAGAAAGGTCCAGAGGAAGAAAAGGAGACTATGCTCCTGTACCCCAGCTCTGTGTGGGTTCCACTACCCCATCTGGATTCAGCCTTGTGGACCAGAGAAGTGTCATTTGAAAGAGGAAAAAAACAATTGCTTCCATTAAGACCCCATGGATTTTCCAAAATATTTTTGCTTCAAACTACAATTAGCTGCATGTGTTTAAGTAAAAAAACGTATGCAATTTATATTGGCAAAAAGATTGATGTAAATAATGCCAAAAATTTCACCATTTGGATTTAGTCACTACTGATTCTAGAGACTATTCCCTAAGAATGTGCTACATATCCATATCCCTTCCCACAACAAATACTTTTTAAAAAGACAGTTTGTTATATTGTTTTTTCCCTTGCTATATCACAAATGCATAGTATTATATAGCTTCGACAGTATTTTTATAGTTGCATAATATTAATTCTGTTTCATGGATTTATGAAAAATTTAATCAGTCCATACTTTTGAATATTGAGACTGTATATTTAAAAATATTTTTAAGCAGGTATGCAGTGGCAAAATCTCTGCAAGCCATCATGGATTTAAAGTACAAAATTTAAAGTACAAATGCTAGGCCCAAAGAGTTTGCAGAATTTTGATGTTTATTGCTAAAATGCTCTCTGAAAAGCTCAAGTAATTTTCAGCAATAGTATACGTGAGTATTCATTTCTACAGACATTTGCCAACCCTGAGTATTATTTTTTAAATCATTAATTTGATAAGTGAAAAAATATTTTAGTGTTATTTATATTTAGAAGATATATATATATATATATATATATATATATATATATATATATATATATATATATTCTCTTTGCAGAGAAATGGGAGCATTATCAATAAGGGTAAAGTTCCATGTACTCTCTGTTCAGTCTAGTCTTCTTCTCTACTCCTGTGTGCTGTGTTGTTTTTGATTAATTATGTCTTTATCGGCATCCAAGTTAAATTTTTTTCTATTTGAAAAAATTTCATCTTGGCAAATTTGTTTCCTTGTGCCCCTTGTGCATCTTTCTGTTGGTGTAGGAATCCCATAGAGTTCAACACCTTCATCTAATGCTCTGCTTGTCACCCATGGATGATAACTTTTGGGACACAGTCACTACTGTAACCTAGAATTTTTCTTTTACTAAGACATATCCAGGATGCAAAGCTTCTCTTAGAAGTATTCTTTACTAAAGATGGTAGAATGAGATGGACATCATTATCCTAGGTACATGAATGACGGCACATATAGTGTGACGCCACATTGTGTACAACTAGAGAAATGATAAAATGTGCCTCATTTGGGTACAATGAATCAAAATACATTCTTCTGTCATGTATAACTAATTAGAACAAATAATAAAAAACGAAATATTCTTTGCTAACACTGGTTGTAAATATCCTTTTTTTTCCCCCACCACTGATCCTGGGAAAAGAGTCAGCCCAAAGGCCCAGGAATTATAGAAAGATTTTTCTATCTGTTCTGCCTTTAGGATTAACAACTAAGAGCATAAACATGAATTGCATACATGATGATGATGTACAGCTGATACGGCATGGTGAGTCTGGACCTTGTACCTGGGTTCTGAGTTCCACTAGGGGTGGGGTAAGATCCAGTGCAGGATGGAGGACATGTCTTAAGGACATGTGTCATTCTTTTGAAATCTATCTTTATCATCTAAGCATAATATAAAATAGTACAGAATGGAGGAAATGGAAGAAAGAAACAAATTATTTGCTGTTTTCCTAGTAAGATAGAAACAATGCTCATATTTTGGTGATATATCCTTGCAGTCATTGAACATTATGTGGTGTAGGTGCTTTCACTGCAGTAGTGTTGAAGACAAGATTGTCCCTGCCCTTAAAGAACTTGCAGTGTTCTTTCTTTTATATGGCATTAAAATATTTTAGTGTTATTTATATTTAGAAGAAATACATGAATATATTCTCTTTGCAGAGAAATGGAAGCATTATCAATTAGGGTAAAGTTCCATGTACTCTGTGTCCAATCTAGTCTTCTCTCCTCCTGTGTGCTGTGTTGTCTTGTATTATTTTTCTGTGTAATAGATACACACGTGTGTATGTGTGTATACATACATACATATATATATACATATACATGGATTATTGTATATACACACACACAATATATGTTATGTTAGTCAGCTTTATGTAACTATAATAAATGTGACAAAAATCAAGTTAATAAGGGGGAAAGTTTATTTGGCTCATGGTTTTGAAGTTTTGAGTTCATGACTGATTATCTCATTGTTTTAGACCTATGGCCTTAGATCTATGGCCAGATAGCAGATCAAGGTGGGGAGCACATACTGGAGAAACTATTCACTTCATGGTCACCAGGAATCAAAGAGAGAGAAAGAGGAAGAGGCTGTGGTTTTATAACCCCCTTGGAGGGCACATTCAATGTCCTAAGACTAGTCCCCTCTTTCCTCCTATAGGTTGCACCTCCTCCCAATAGTTCTATGTTGGGGAAGCAAAGAGAGCTAGGAAAGGGTTGGGGTCCCAATACCCACTTCTAAGGTACACCTTCCTTCTACTGGGCCCATTTCCTAAAAGGTTCCACCACCTCCCAATAGCTCTGCAGGTGGAAGGCCAACCCTCCAATACATGGGCCTTTGGAGACATTTAATACCCAAACTATAGAATCTAATTTCTATGCTTTTGTTAGAAAATATTTTTGTTCTATTTTTAACCCAGAATTTAGATACTATGATTGTTATTATTATTTTGCACAAACTGTTTTAGGTATTCTTCACCATTCATTTTTGCTTTTTTCTGACCATCTTTTAGGGAACATTTTTATTTCTCCTGGAGTAGATCTTGTAGAAATTCCTTTTTTAAAAAAAATTTTAGTTGTAGATGGACCTTTATTTTATTTATTTATTTTTATATGGTGCTGAAGTTTGAACTCAGTGCCTCACACATGCTAGACAAGTACTCTACCACTGAGCTACAGCCCCAGCCCCAAGAAATTTCTGGGATGCTAATATTTAATATTCAGACTCTTGGTGGATGTTTTTTTTAATGTAAGGATTCTCAAAGGAATAAGACAATTTGACACAATTCTAGATCAATAATTACTTTCTCTCAGCACTTTGGAGATATTATACTAGTGTTTTCCGGCTTGCTTTGTTATGTTTGAGAAGCCTGAGGCCCTTCTAATTTTTGTTCTTTGTAGCTTATCTTTACACTGACAGAAGTACAGAGAATATTATCATCAACTTCCTGTATCTGTACCCCAGATACAGCAGGTATCAACTCGTGGCCAACCTTGGCTTTTTTTTAAAATTTTTTTAAATTTTCCCACCTATACCCTGTCCCTGGCAGGGTTATTTTGAATTAAATCCAAGACTTCATATTATCCCGTCTATAAATAGTACATGTTTCTAAATGATTCTTTTAAAAAACAAAACATGAAAAAAAGTATAATGGAGTAGAATACAAACTATCTAAGAATTGGGAACTGGTTTGAGGCATTTCATCCAAACCTCTGAGGCTACCAGTTTATTTTCTAATGTCTCTATAGTTAGAAACACTTCAGAGAAGCATTTACTAGCCTTAATTTACAACTCTCCTAAATGCAGATCTGAATCATTTCTCCCAGGGCACAGAAGTTAATTACTGAAAAAAGCAGTATGAGAATTTTCAATTTCTATTTCCCTTTCCATGAACCCACACTCCTGTGTGGTTCTTTAATTGGTACCAAAGTCCCAAGAAAGAGGTAGGGGGTGGGAGTTGGTGGTTTGTAGAAAGAGGAGCCAATATTTCCAGTGTTAGTCAGAAGAAAAAAATTTATCATTACTTTTAAAACTCTTGGTAAGCTCCAACAGCCAATAGACATACCTATGCTTTTTTTGTTGTGAAATTTAATTTTTTCATCGACATTAAGAAAAAACTTTTATGTTTCAAAGGATAGCATTGAGAAAACAAAAAGATAAATCACAAAGTTGGAGAAGACTTTTGTAAGTCATGCAATAGATGATCTAGAACAGGGTACTAGAATATACAAGGAACTATTAAAACTTACATTAGGGGCTGGGGTGGTGGCTCAGTGGTAGAGTGCTCACCTAGCATGCATGAGGCACTGGGTTTGATCCTCAGCACCACATAAAAACCAACAAAGGTACTCACCTAAAACTAAAGATACATAAATAAATAAATATTTTTTTTAAAAAAATATCATTTAAAAAAAACTTACATCAAATTTGTGGGAAGCAGTTGATTTGGACTAGGCACCAAGCATCAACAGACTAAACCAATGTGAAATTTATTTATTTTTATTCCAAATAAATGGTTTATTCTTTTTTATATCTTTTTTGTTGTTCTTTTTAGTTTTACATGACAGTAGAATGTATTTTGACATATTATACATACATGGAGTATAACTTCCCATTCTTGTGGTTGTAGAGTCTCTGGTCTAATGCACAGGTCCTTGTGCAAGGGTGACAGGGGACTAATTGGATTTTGTTACATATGGGTTTCCAGTTTTCCCAGCACTACTTGTTGAAGAGGCTATCTTTTCTCTGATGTATGTTTATGGCACCTTTGTCTATTATGAGGTAACTGTATTTATGTGGGTTTGTCTTCTATTCTATTGGTCTTCATGTTTGTTTTGGTGTCAGAACCATGCTATTTTTTATTACTATAGCTCTGTAGTATTAATTTAAGGTCTGGTATTGTAATGCTTCCTATTTCACTTTTCTTGCTAAAGATTTCTTTGGCTATTCTGGGCTTCTTATTTTTCCATATGAATTTCATAACTTTTTAATGTCATCAGAACCTTGAATAGGAATTGAATTAAATCTGTAGAGAGATTTTGGTAGTATGGCCAGGGTGGGAAATCTATCTTTCTTGTTTACTACTGTATGCACCTCACCTAGCACAGTGCCTGGTGATAGGAAGAACTCAATAATAGTTGACAAATGAATTAATGATTTTTATGTGTAGCAGTGAAAAATTAGAGACAGTTTTATTATTCAGTAATGAGGGTTCATAAAAATGACAATCCTGTGATTTGATCTTATACTGTAAACAGGTAAATCTTATGGGAAGAAAAAAATGTTATTCTTATTTTTTGTAAAGTTCTATCTTTAATATAAAAAAAGCCCTGCAAGGATAGGTACCAAAATATTAGCAGTATTTTTTCACAGGGTTCTTGATTMCTCTTTCTTCTCCCCACATTTTTTTTAAATGGGGTCTTGTTATGTTGCCCAGGCTGACCAAGAACTCCTGGGCTTAAGCAATCCTTCTGCCTCAATCTGATAAATAGCCGAGGCAACAGGAACTCAGTATTCTATCCAGCTATCCTTTCCATTTTTAAAAAAACAATCTTTAATATGTTTTCTGAAATGAAACCAGCATTACTTTTTTACAATGCCAAGAATGATTCTAAGTGGAGTTGCATGATAATGGCCTATCATTTGGGTAGGCCCTGAGTGGGGCTAGGTAGACAATCTTCAGGGTTGACCTCCTTCTGGTTTCAGCTCTTGAATGTGTGAAGAATGATCCCAGAGATGCTATCAAGGTGATAGCCAATGCTATCCTGAAAAAAATAGATGAAGATGTGAAGATCCAGGGTTCCTATGCTTCCAGGCTGAGCCAAATCAGCAATAACTTCCTCAGAGGTTTTGGCATCAAAACCAGAAAGAGAAAGAAGCACCTGTTTAGGACTGTCAAACGGGAAATGGATATTGATGAGAATCATTAAAACAAAATCTCAAATTGGTTCCAAGTTTCTGAATTCCTTCTCAAACAGCAATTCAGATGGAAGGTCAGCAGAGATTTTAGTACCAATGCTAAACATCCAATTAAACAAGTTGAGCCTATCTAAAATGCAGCTGCATAGGAATCACTGAGAATATTTAAAGCTGGGAACCAATACTTTTTCCATTTGTTTATGGACATGTCAGTGCTTTTGTCCAATGGGTTGTGCCATTTTGACCATGGAAGATACATTATGCTTCTTGTCCTTTATCTTCCTAGGGAATTGTTGGTTATGGGCAGATACATTTGTCAGGCAAACATTTTCTCATCCCAAGGCTAGCTGGGTTTCTTCCAAATTCCTGGGATCCAACGGTAAGCATGAGTGACTAGAACAACTTTGGAAAGTATGTCCTTCACCATTTGGGAAATGTTACTCATGAAAAAAGGGAGACACAGGGTAGCAAACATCATGAAACTTAGTTTTCAATCTTTTCCTGTACATCCACATACTAGATGTAAATCCCATGTTAGCTTTTAATGGTTGTGACCAAAATATCTTACAAGAACACCTTAAAAGTTTATTTGGGCTCACAGTTTCAGAGGTTCAGTTCATGGTCAGCCAACCTGAATGCTCTGGGCCTGAGTTGAAGCAGAACATCTTAGTATAAGGTGTGGAGGAAGAAAGCTCAGCCCAAGGCTGCAAGGAATTGGAGAGAGAGACAAAATATAGAATCCCCAAGACATGCACCCTGTTTAGTTAACTTTTTTATTGCTGTGACATGACAAGAAAAATTAGAGGTAAAAAAATTTATTTTGGCTCATGATGTCAGAGGTCTCAGTCCATAGATGGCTGACTCCATAACTCTAGGTCTAAGGTAAGGCAAAAGTCATGGCAGAAGGGCATGGTGGAGGAGAAGAACTTAGGATATAGCCAGCAGAGAGTTGTGCTCACCAGGGACAAATATTAACCCCAAAGTATGCCTATCTCCTCTAGCCACACCCTACCTGCCTATAGTTACTACCTAGTTAATCCATAACAGTGGATTAATATAGTGATTAAAGCTCTCATAATCAAACCATTTAAGGTAAACATCCCTATATTGTCTCACATTTAGATTAAAAAAAAATTTAAATTTGTTTTAATTAGTTATACATTACAGTAGAATACATTCATGTACTTTGATATATCATACATCAATGGGACATAATTTCTCATGTGAACACCTAATATCCAAACCATAACATTCCACCCTGAACCCCAAGTTTTCATGCACATCTCACAATTCAAAATGTATTTAGTCCATTTCCAAGAGTCCCCAGAATTGCCCAAAAGTTCAAGTCCAAAATCTCTTCTGAGATTGAAGGCAAACTTTTATCTCTTTTCCCCTGTAAAGTTAAATTTATCCAAAGTATAATGGCACAGAGGAAACATTTCTGTTCCATAAGGGATAAATAGGGACATAGATAGAAGGATGGGATTGGGGCTGGGGTTGTGGCTCAGCAGTAGAGCGCTCGCCTAACATGTGTGAGGCACTGGGTTTGATTCTCAGCACCACATAAAAAAAACTAAACAAAATAAAGGTATTGTGTCCATCTACAACTAAAAAAATTAAAAAAAAGAAAAAGGATGAGATCAAAGCAAGACAAAAATCCAGCTGGGCAAATAAGTCGAGTAACTGTTTCCAGCATCTGGGGAACATGGAATCATGATGTTCTCTCCAAAGGGCTTGTGTACCTCTGTTTCTGGGGTCTTTCTGGTTGCATTTCACATAGCCTCTCTCTTGGCTTAGCTCTGCTCAATTCCTGCAACAGACATTCCACTGTACTGCCATTTGTAACTGGGGTGGGGGTTTCCACTGCAGCCTTCACTTCCTTCTCACTTCTTCATGCATTACCCTGTCAGAGACAGCCCCATAGTGACTCTGATCCTGTTACACTTTGCCTGGTCTCCCAAGCCTCCCTTTGAAATTTCAGTGAAAACTCCCTAATTCTAACATCCTGCATTCCTTCAGAATAAGCTCCATGTCGTTGCCACCAAGGTCTGCTATTATCTGGAACAATATTCAAGCCTCCTAGTACTTGTCTACAGCACCCTCCAAGTACCTGAGTGCCTGTACATGGTTAAATAACATTCTAGGCCCTTCTCGCCCCATGCAAGCAGGGTGTTCCCATGGTCTCTTCTTAAGAAATTTTTACTTTTACACTCTTGAGCCTGAGATAGGTGTGGTCTTTCCAGTCCCTTGCCATCTGTCCCATTGTTTCTGGATAGAAAGTTTTTTTTTTTTTTTTTTTTTTGTCTCAAGGATTGAACCAAGGGATGCTAAACCACTGAGCCATATCCCCAACTCTTTTTATTTTTTTATTTTAAGACAGGGTCTCACTAAATTGCTTAGGATCTTGCTAAGTTGCTGATGCTTTCAGCTTTTGCTCCTCCTGCCTCAGCCTCTCAAACCACTGGGATTACAGCCTTTCGCCACTGTTCTGGGATAGTTAGTATTTCTTTAGTGGCTATAACATTTACAACAACCACATCTTTACTCTGATGTACTTGTTCTTTTATGACTAAACTGCAAACTTTCCAAATCTTTACTTTCTGCTTTCTGCTCCTGATTATCACAGTAAATTTGGTTAATAGCTTCTAGCAATACACATGCCACTGCCTGAATGCTGTACTGCCTTAAAATTACCTCTACCAGATTAATTAATTAGTACATAATCTTTAAAACTAACCTCACAAAAAGTCTCAGGACATGGACTAAATGTACACATTTCTTTGTCAGAGGATAACATGAATGACCTCTAGTCCAAAGTCAAGGCTCTGAAATCTCATGAGCCCAGTCTTTACTGTCCACAGTCCTATCAGCATTCTGGTCTTTTGAACTCCCACTAGAGTCACCCATCAAACTCTGCTTACAACAATTTAAATCTTTTCTAGCCTTCATCTCTAAAATTCTCAAAATTCTTCCCACAGACTCCAAAAAAGTCCAAAAGCTTCTGAACCACATGGTTAGTTTAGTCACTTTTCAGTTTTAGTTAGTTTTTTTGGTCACTGTGACTAAAATACCTGGAAAGAAAAATTATAGGTGGAAAAGTTTATTTGGGCTCATATTTGGGGTTTACCTAAGCTGCTTTCTTCCACCATGAAAGAAGAAATGTGGTGGTGGAAGAAAGCAGCTTAGGTAAACCCCAAAGGCACATCTATAGATCTCCTCTAGTCACCCCCAACCTGTTATCGTTTAGTTATTTCATATCAGAATTAATCCAGTGATTAGGTTAAAGCTCTCATACTCTAACCATTTCATCTGAATGTCCCTGCACTGTCTCACACATGAGCTTTTGTGGGACATCTTATATGCAAACTATAAAAGTTTGAGTGACTCACTTCCTCCAGCCATGCTTTCATATACCAGCAATCCATTCAAATTATTAATTCATTTGATGAATTAATCTATTTATTAGGAGATATTGGGAGAAACCTCATATCTAAACCATGACATTTTGCTCCTGATCCCAAAATCTCAAGTCCTTTTCACAATACAAAATGCATTTACTCAATCTCCCAAGTATCCCCATAACAGTGTCATTATTCCTCAGAAATCCAAGCACAAAAACTCATTTGAGGCTTAAGGCATACTCTTTACTGTAAGTTCCTATAAAGATTAAAAGCAAGTGACCTAGAACTAATATATAGCAGCACAAAGTAAACATGCCTAAAAATACAGGAATAGGGGTATAGAATGAGAGATGGAACCATAGCAAGAGTGAAATCCAGCTGGGCAAACAGGCCTTGTAGTTCCACAACCAGCATCCAAGGCAAATGCTGGTGAGATGTGATCACCAAAGGATTTGGGCAGCTCCACCCTGATGACCTTGCCAGTTATAGTCCACATGATTTCTCTTTTAGGCTGGCTCTACCCAGAGCTGGCAGTTTTTCTTGGCAAACATTCCCATAATTGGCATAATTTCTGACACCTTTTCTGACAACTTTTGATCCTGGAGTCTCTTTTGCAGCTTCACACATTGTACTCTCAGGGACTGCCCACAGGGATTCCAACTCTCATACACTGCCTGGCATCTAGGCCTTCTAAATTGAGGTGGAAGCCACAATGATACCTTAAGTTCAGCATCTTGCTTTACTGCAGAACCAGAACTACATGGACAATGCCAAGGTCTTTTGCTAGCTTGAGCAAAAGCCAGGACTTCTTAGACAATGGCTGCAGCAACATCTGAGCATAAAAAGAACAGATGGGACCAAAACAGGACCAAATTTCCCATAGAGTCTTCCTTTCCCTCTGAAACCTCATGAGCCCAAGCTTTACTGTCCACAGTCCTATCAGCATTCTGGATTTTTGGATTCCCATTAGAGTTACCCATTGCGCTCCACTTACAATAATCTAAATCTTTTTTAGCCTTCATCTCTAAAATTCTAAAAATTTCTCCTACAGACTCCAAAAAACTCCAAAAGCTTCTGAACCATATGATCAAGTTATTCACTTTTCAGTACCAATTCTCCTGGTTAGGCAAGCAGGTCCTATAACTTGGCATACAGCATATAGGCTATATTGAGGTGTGATAGTATTTCCAAAGAGCTGGGGGAACCCTGCCTCTTTTGCTTTGCTAGTTAACAGTGTGCATGAGCTCTTTTTTAGCTTGGTCATATCTGTAGACAGCAGTTTTTTTCATCTGACAGTCCATCTTGGTTTCAGCTTCACACATCAACCTCTTAGGGCAGCCTGCAAGGACTTTGAACCTGGTAATTTTGTATGGCCTCCCAGGACTTCATTTGAAATTGAGTTGGTAGCCTCCATGACCCTCCAACTCTAGCATTCAGAATTTATGCAGAATCAGCACCACATGGATGATGCCAAGATCTTCTGCTAGCTTGTGGTTTAGCTGAACCCTCTGGATTCATGGTTTCCATGGCATCTGAGTGTTTAGGCAGCTGAGTATGATGAAACAACTTCTAGGCCACCCTCCACAAGCAGGGTGACCCATAATCTCTTT